GGATTTACCCAAAGGAAATGAAATCAGCATATGAAACAGTATCTATACACCCGTGTTTATTGTAGCTCAAATCACAACAGCTAAGATATGGAATCAGCCCAGATGTCTATAGCTAAGATATAGAATCAGTCCAGATGTCTATCAACATGATTTGCTTCTTTCACGTAGAGATAAGTATATCCTGGCATCTCTCTACAGCAGAATGCAGAAGCTTCTTTGCTACATTCTACAGTTGCATCATACGCTGTAGACACATCATAGTTGAATCAACAAGCCTCACATTGATGGGCAGTTTTTAATATTTTGCATTATAATGAGTGCTGTAGTAAATAATTTTGTACATATTCATTTTCATATTTTTTGTAAGTTTTTGGTATCCCAAAGAGTAAGTCTGAATATTCTTTTCATGTATTCAAGGGTCATTTTCATTTATTTGTGAACTTGTTGGTCTCTCATAAAGACTGCTCTATAGTTCTTTATTGTTTCTCAGTAATTTAGAAGCTCTTTAAGTACTGAAGATATTAATCCCCTAGGTTTGACATGAGTTGTAAGTACTTTTTCCAACAAAATTTCCAAATTTTGTTAAGATTTTTTTCCCTCAAGCATGATATATGTGATTTGGTAAATTAATTTATCAATCTTTATCCTCTCTGTTTAAGTCATATTTTGGAAATACTCTCTATATCTAAGTTACAAGGAATTCTCTCAAGGAATCTAATAATTTAGTAATTCTAGATATCCTTGCTACCAAAGATATTGCTCATTTAAACTAAACCTTCTTATTTCATATTCATGTTAGTTCTGATTATTCTACTAGTTAACTTTGAACTTATATTTTTATTTTTCAACAAATGTTAAAATATTTATTGAATACTTAATTTGTAAGATGATAATTATGATAAAAGTCAGAATGTGTATGATGGTCAAACTCTGTTAGAAGAGTTGTTCATACATGCTTTAATTCATATTCACAACAAGCTTCTAACCAAAGCCCTATTACCATTGTCATTTTACAAAGAAATGGAGAAGTCAAGAATCTTGCTCAACTTTCATTCCATTGCAAAAAGTGAAGTCAGGAGTTAGAACCCAGGTAGCCTGGCTTGAGCTTATACGCTACCCACCATATTGTTTGCAATAATAACCTTGCCTGCAACTTTTGTAGTCTAATTCTGCTATTAGCTAGTCTCCTTTATTAGATTACCGTTTACACTGTTATACAAAACCCAGGTTGTTAAAGCTTTGTCTTTAGTGGAAAACAAATCACATTTCACATTACAACTGTAAGCACTTTTCATAATTTCTTTCCTTTTCCTATAGGAGATGATTCCTAGTACTGTATAATATGCCTGTCTCATATTCTATTACTGCTGGGAATCATACTAACTAAAGTTTGCTTAGTATTCAAAAACTTCTAGAGACATTTACTTGACAGGATTCCTTTTTTCTCCATAGGTGACATACCTACCATCTTTCCTCTAGCACATTTTTTCCTCCTGCCCAAATGTGGACTGGTTGCTCTACTGGGCAGGCTGAACAATGATAACCAGTAAGTTTTCTTGACTTGTTCTCCTGTATTGTTAGATACAAACTTGAATTCTCAAGTTTGCTTCTTAATTTTGATAATCTCTGTATTACCCAGAGAGGGGAAAATAACTGAGTTCTTTCCTATTTTTTCTTTCATATTTACTTGAATGTTGGTAGGGTATAGACTATTGAGCCGGGACTAGAATCGGCACCCATATGGGATGCCTTTTAAGCTTTTATATCCTATTGAATGTCAGGTTACTGCTGAACTTGGTGCCTCTGCGATTCTTGTTTCATTAAAGGAAATCTCCACTTTTCTCATTATCCTTTCATTCAATGCTGACATATTTAATGGCCTTTTTTCATTGTACCAAGCCATTCAGAGGGCTCTTTTAACTTGATGATTCCTTTCTTCAGTTCTGGGAAAACTCTTTTATTTTGAATAATTTGTTGCACTCTGTTTTCTCTTTTCTGGACTCATATGAAGTCTGTTATTGTCAGTCAATCTTTTTCTCTACCTTCTTGAAGGTTTTTCTAAACTTTATTTTCTACTCCAACTACTGAATGCTCCATTTTTCAATTATTTCTTTCCTGTATCTTTTTTTGTAATATCCTCTTCTTAGTTGTTTTTTAAAGATTTGTTTACTTATTTGAAAGTCGAATTACACAGAGATAGACGGAGAGGCAGAGAGAGAGAAAGGGAGGGAGAGAGGGAAATGGAGGGAGAGAGTCTCTCATCCACTGGTTCATTCCCCAATTGGATGCACAGCCAGAGCTGCGCCGATCCAAAATCAGGAGCTTCTTCTGGGTCTCCCACGCAAGTGCAGGGGCCCAAGGACTTGGGCCATCTTCTACTGCTTTCCCAGGCCGTAGCAGAGAGCTGGATCACAAGAGTAGCAGCCGGGACTAGAACCGGCACCCATAAGGGATGTCGGCACTGCAGGCAGCGGCTCTACCCTCTATGCCACAGCACCAGCCCCTCTTAGTTTTTAAGTCATTAATACTTGAGTTTTTTATTTTTTAACTCAATATTGGTCTTTTCAGATTATTATGTAAGAAAAGACTGGATAAAGACCATGCTGCTTTCTATCTCAGTCTCTTTCCTGCATGGAAAGTCTGCCTAGAAACACTGTATGAGACAGGACAGGGCATGCTGTCAAGTTTGGGACTTTGTAAATACCAGAATTAAAGAATCTTAGATGACAACATCTATTCTGAATACCAGGGACAAGAAGAGGGCAGTATGCCAACTGTTGTAAACCGTTTCATACACAGGACTTCAACGATCTGCTTCTCAGTACCACTTCTCACTCTCACCACTCGTGGTAACTGTCAGTTCTGGGCCCAAAGCCTCCTGGTATTCCCACTGACCGGCTGGATGCAGGCTACCCTCTAGCTACCTCCTAGCACATTCTGAGTTGTAAACCTTTTCATCACTTTTATCTGTCAACATGCTACCACCTGCTTTGCCCTCTAGAAATTCCCTGAAGGCTGTCATCTGTTGCATAATACCCTTCCTCATCCCCTTCCTCTTCTCACTGCTATTCTGAGTCTATTGCTTAGAATAGATTGCATTATTTCATAATACATAAATTGTATTATTTCTACAAGATTCAGGGTGGGGTTGGAGCAACTTAATGTTCAATCCTTACTGACTTTCTGGCAACTGATTTTGTATAAATAGGTGTGCATTATTTACGACAGTGACTTTTCTATTAGATTTATTTCATTAGAAGGCAGAGCTATAGAGAACACACACACCCCTATAGAGACTGATTTTCCATCCACTTATTCACTCTCCAAACAGCCACAAGGGCAAAGGCTGGGACAAGATGAAGCCAAAGTCCTTGGGCCCCTGCACCCACATGGGAGACCCAGAAGAAGCTCCTGGCTCCTGATCAGCGCAGCTCCAGCCATTATGGCCAATCTGGGGAGTGAACCAGAGGTTGAAGACCTCTTTGTCTCTCTGCCTCTCTGTAACTCTGCCTATCAAATAAATAAATAAACCTTTAAAAAAAAAAAAAAAAAGAAAAGTGGAGTCAAGATGATGGCAGGACAGAAGGCAAATAAATGGAGTGAAGGTGCTAGACTGGATAACCACATGGCTGCCAGAGGCTGCAGTGGTTATGAGTGTTGAGACTGAGAGCTAGTTCCTAGCTTTTCTTAAATATGGTGAATGATCCTGTGACTGGAAGAGAAGTCCAACGAGTAACAGATGAATGGATGGTACACTCATCTCTAACAAGCCAGTGCCCATGCAGGCAATGTGTAGCCCTCATGGGTGGTAGAAAAGGAGAGTTCAAGGAGATGGTAGGTTCAGGGTTTCCACTATAATGCAGGAGATAACGAAGCTGCACACTCTGGAGGAACTAAAAGTACAAGGGACAGAATAAGGCCTCACTCAATGTATAGTGCCTTTAACAGAATATATATTACTCTAACCTGCAGTTACTTGTATTCTGTCATTGTTGCTAAGAGCAGGCAAAATTTGACCAACATGTGTAGGACAAATTGCACTGGATTCAGCCTGACCTAGGAGAACTGTCAAATGCCACCAAACTGAGTAATAGATCAATCTTTACCAGAGTATCTCTTTTACTCAAGAACAAGACTGAAGCCTGCCAAACATGGACTATGTAAAAATGGGTTGATGTACCATACTCAGTCACATGCCCAAGGACTAATGAAAACATCTGGGCAAAAATTTGCATCAACCCATAGTGTGTTGTTTCCAGGATCACAAACTTTAACCAAAAGTTAACTTATGTGATTTGGTAATTATTCTACTTCATTTACTGCCCATTAAAAAAATTTTAAGGGCAAAAATAATCAGGATTCTCAATAGAGTGAGATGTTAAAATAAAAAATAAGGGCTGGCACCGCAGCTCAATAGGCTAATCCTCTGCCTGTGGCGCTGGCACACCGGGTTCTAGTTCTGGTCGGGGCGCCGGATTCTGTCCCGGTTGCCCCTCTTGCAGTCCAGCTCGCTGCTGTGGCCCGGGAGTGCAGTGGAGGATGGCCCAAGTCCTTGGGCCCTGAACCCGCATGGGAGACCAGGAGAAGCACCTGGCTCCTGGCTTCGGTCAGCGCGGTGCGCTGGCCGTAGCAGCCATTGGAGGATGAACCAACTGGTAAAGGAAGACCTTTCTCTCTCTCTCTCTCTCTCTCTCTCTCACTGTCCACTCTGCCTGCCAAAAAAAATAAACAAAAAATAAAAGATAAAAAAAAGTGAATGAATTTTATATTAGTGCCTAGTATCTATTTGTACAACAAAAAGATGAAGTAGAGGCAAAAATGTCCCTCAGCTATAGAGAGTATGCATACAAACTTTTATGGCCCATTGCATTTTAGGAAAAGATGATTTTAACAATCTTGGTCCAGTGTTCACCAGAAAAAGTTTTGGTCCTGTATTTTCCTAATCATATGACCAAGAAATGCAGCACTTCTACCCTTTATATATCTTTATATACACTTACCCGGCTCTTTTTAGGAAGGGCTCTGCTTGTACATTTGGTTTCCTGAGACTTCCTCCTATTAATTTTCTTTTCTTTACAAGGTTGAGCTTCTGTATTAAGTAAGTTGCAAACATTCTCTTCTGCAAAACTGATCAACTGCTATAAAAAAAGTTAATGTAAGGATACTATAGGGCACAAATAGCAATATTTGAATGTGTAACTCTCACTTTTGTTTTTCTTTCCACAATGCTTCCCCTGTTTTACATCCAATTGCTTTGTAATTCATGACTTCCATTAAAAGCATCTTAATCAAAATTCAAGTGGCAAAAATGGTAATTTATCAATTTTTGATGTATCAAACATAGATCCAGAAGCATGCATATATATACACACACACATACACACACACACACACACACATATATATATATATATCTCAATTCTACTGGGATTATTGGGGGGAAAACTGTAATGTTAGATGGTCTAAGTTTGAATTCTGAATTTTTCATCCAATTGTATCAGCTAAACACTACCTGTAATTACATCCTGATCTAATCTACTTTCACTTCAATGAACTTTATAAAATTATACATTTTCCAAACAAATTTTTCTGATTACCTTCCACATTAACATATCTTGTTTTACTAAATTTTTCTTCTAACAGAATTAAGATCAAGTCAAAAACTAAACAAATTAGTTTTTAATGACACTGATCAAACAAATTTTACCCATTATCATTTGGGCATAAAACTGGAAAAATGTTTTAAAAGATTTAAAATCAAATGTGTGTGTTAAATACAAACACTCACCTTTCTTCTATTAGAAGTCCGTGTTGGTCTAACTTTACAGGAGGATATTTTCTCATGGTTATTTGAAGAACTAAAGGTATCAGTGCCTGATAAGCAACACACAAGTAAATTCAGGGTGGCTAACACAAAATTACAACATGCATCACCTTTGGGAACCATTAGACAGTCTTTTGGATATTGAATTTTCTTTTAATAACATATCTAAACATAAATAATTACCAAGAGGACTAAGTTTTACATCCAGTTTTTTTTTGGAAACTTTTACCATTACTGAACTCCCAGAAACTTTCACCAATCTCCATTGTGATTGCTTAATGTAATATCATGCTAAGATAATAGACTAAATCATATTACAATAAATGCACATATTTTCACTGACATTTATTCCAAAATACATCACGTACAATGAAATTGCAGCAAGGGCATAAATATAAGCATGAAAACACTTTATATAATTTCACAGAGTTTAGGAAAAATTTTAACGTATTGCTTTTAACAGTATAAATGAAAGGCAGCATAACATGTTTAAGGGCACAGACTTTGGGATGTGACAGAATCTGGTTCAAACTTTGGTTCTATTTTAACACATGGCTTGGATTTTATGCTAGTATAATCTTGGTTAGTATCAACAAAAAGTCATTAAAAAATTTGACCACAGCCAGCGTTGTGGCCCAGTGGCCTGGGCCACCTGCAATGCTGGATCCCATTATCAGAGCCTGGTTCGAGTCCTGGCTGCTCCATTTCTGATCCAGCTCCCTGCTGGTGTGTCTAGAAAGGCAGCAGAGCATGGCCCAGGTGCCTGGATCCCTGCCACCCATGTGGGAGACCTGGATTGGGTCCCTGGTTCCTGGATTTGGCCTGGCCCAGCCCCAACCGTCACAGCCATTTGGGGAGTGAACCAACGGATGCAAGATCTCTTTCTCTCTGTCTCTCCCTCTCTGTCACTCTGCCTTTTAAATAAATAAAATAAATCTTTAAACAAATGAAACAAAAAATTTTTACCAGGGAAGACACACAAATAAAGATCCCCATCCTAAATGCTCTTCCCATGGTATTTTGGGAAATCTGTTATTTTTTTATGATCCTAAAAAAATTCAGAAACTTTGGGAAGTATGCATAGATGTGTCAAAAATGCCATATTAATGCTGTTAAGAAATCTGGATATTTAAGAATGACCCTTTCAATCCAGATCATTTCCATTGTGCAAACCATGAATAGGAGTTTACTGTTGACACTGAAAGCATTGAAGAGGCCAGCTCTTACAGCTTACAGCAGATTGAAAAATGGGGGTACCTAAGGAAGTTAAATATGGGTGATTATAAAGTACTGCACTGAGGCCGGCGCTGTGGCGCAGTGGATTAAAGCCCTGGCCTGAATTGCCAGCATACCATATGGGCGCTGGTTCTAGTCCTGGCTATTCCACTTCCGATCCAGCTCTCTGTTATGGCCTGGAAAAGCAGAAGATGGCCCAAGTCCTTGAGCCCCTGCACCCCACATGGGAGACCTGGAAGAAGCTCCTGGCTCCTGGCTTCAGATCGGCACAGCTCCGACCGTTAAGGCCATCTGGGGAGTGAACCAGAGGATGAAAGACCCCTCTCTCTGTCTCTACCTCTCTCTCTAACTCTACGTTCAAATAAATAAAATAAATCTTAAAAAAAATAAATAAAGTACAGCATTTGGAATGGGAAAGAAGGGATAAGTGACTCCTTATAAATTTTCTATACCATTGGGTTTGCAAAACTGAGTAAATTGCTCTAACAAATATAAAATTGCAAAACACAAAATAAAGTGATTTTCATGTACTCAAATATTAAAAATGACATTTATTTATAATTAAACAAAAGTTATTACCTGGAAGAGTCTCAGTGATTGAAGACTTAATAGGACTCCCAACCGCAAATGTTAAGTGTAATGGTTCTATGTTTTCCTAAACAAAGGAAAGAAAGAGGAGAAATCAGATATCCTTAAATATAATATGCCCCAAAGAAATATGATTAGGGCTCATTTTGACAGAAAGAGCTGTAATAGTTATAAAGACACGTAAATAAAGGCTTTTTTAAAAAGTCAAAGCAAAAAAAAGCTATCAAATATGGAAACACATAATAATATTTACCAATCTTTATAATGAAAATGTGTTTACTAAAACCATAATCCACCAAAATAAAAGTAAATATGAAGTGAAATCAGCCATAATGGTAAAAAATTTATTAATAAACAATTTAACATTGTAATAGTATTAAGGGAACTTCAGGGTAAAATGGCACTATAAACACAAATATCAAATCTTTCTAATATCATCACCATTAAGATATTAACTGCTAGGTTGACTTTTAATAGGTGAAACTTTTGAAAGAAATTCCTTTTGGGATCAGCGCTGTGGAGTGGTGGGTAAAGCTGCCGCCTGCAGTGCCAGCATCCCATATGGCCGCTGGTTCGAGTCCTAGCTGCTCCACTTTTGATCCAGCTCACTGCTATGGCCTGGGAAGAAACAGTAGAAGATGGCCCAAGTCCTTGGGCCCCTGCACCTGCATGGGAGACCCAGAAGAAGCTCCTGGCTCCTGGCTTTGGATCTGCCCAGCTCCAGCCATTGCGGCCTACTGGGGAGTAAACCAGCAGATGGAAGGCCTCTCTCTCTCTCTCTCTACCTTTCCTTCTTTCTCTGTATAGCTCTGACTTTCAAATAAATAAATAAATATTAAAAAACAAGAAATTTCTTTTATCACCAATTTGCTCAAAGAAATTTTTTTAAAACCAGAAATGGAAGCTACATTTTGTCTAATGTTTTTCAGATGATTGCATGGCTTTTTCTCTTAGACTAATGGTGAATTACACAGATTATTTTTCCCACATGTAACCAACTTTGTATTCCTCAGTTAAATCTCAAGTACTTATGATGTATTATCTTTTCATTTATGGTTGTCCTCTGGAGTTCTCTCTGTACAGCTCTCTCTTCTCCAGTACTTGGTCCTGGGAACTCTAGCATTCCGTCTTTCCAACTCTCAGAGATTACCAGGCTCTGCTGAGTTGCCCCTCCCTGTTTTTTGGTCTGGAAACTCAATCGGATTCACGGTCAGTCAGTAGACACTATCATAAGGCTCATGCCACTTGCTACCCTTCTCTCACAAATTCTATGTTGTGCTTCCCAATGGTCAATGTCTGGACACTGAACTTTCTCTGTTTCCTTTTGTTATTTCACTTAGAAGGAGAAATTAAGTCCCTAGTATGTACCTTGGCCAGAAGCAGAATATTCTTATTTCATAGTGCAAAACCAAGAGAGAGAATGAATAATTGTCCTGATATAAAATCAGGTAAGAATGATTAATCATCAAGTTCAAAGGGAAGAAATTAAAGTGCCCGATGAACTTGTAAAAAGAGTGTTTAAACCACTCCAAGAAACTAAATTGGTTCAAGTCAACTTTTTCTATTAGACTACTAAATGTTTTTCATCTAGGGGCCAGTGCTGTGGCGCAGTGGGTTAAAGCGCTGGCCTGAAGTGCTGGCATCCCATTTGGGTGCCAGTTCTAGTCCTGGCTGCTTCTCTTCCGATCCAGCTCTCTGCTATGGCCTGGGAAAGCAGCAGAAGATGGCCTAAGTCCTTGGGCCCCTGCACCCACATCGGAGACCCAGAAGAATCTCTTGGCTCCTGGTTTCGGATTGGTGCAGCTCTGGCAGTTGTAGCCATCTGGGGAGTAAACCAGCATATGAAAGACCTTTCTCTCTGTCTCTACCTCTCTCTGTAACTCTTGTCTTTCAAATAAATAAAATAAATCTTTGAAAAAAATAAATAAAAAATAAATGTTTTTCATCCAATACTCAGAGTTCCTAAAGTGTGGTAAAGTAAAAACATATGGCTTTGAGTCCATAATTGTCACATACCTTCTGGATGGTAATTTAGCAATTATACGTCAAAAAGTTCAAAAGCATTCATATGCTTTAATCTAATAATTCTAGTTTTAGAAATGTATTTTAGAAGAAAATGCAGTTTATATCTTGCTATTTCAATTCTAAAATAGTTCTTCTTTCACAACTTAAAGCCTCAAAAACCTAAGTACATCACACAGTTCACTCTGTTTCAGAGTTTAATTTTTAGCATTTTTTTCTTAGTGATACATAAAACAATGGCCTTATAGTCAACAGCATTTAGGCTCAATGAAATATGCTAACTGCAAGGACTCATGGAAGTAATTATTGTTCATCATAACAAAAAATTGGCAAACAGCTACAAGGAAAATAGATTAAACCATGGTTTGGGGCCATCGCCATTGTGTACTAGGTTAATCCTCTGCCTGCGGCGCCGGAATCCCATATGGGCACCGGATTCTGTCCCAGTTGCCCCTCTTCCAGTCCAGCTTTCTGCTGTGGCCTGGGAGGGCAGTGGAGGATGGCCCAAGTCCTTGGGCCCTGCACCTGCATGGGAGACCAGGAAGAAGCACCTGGCTCCTGGTTTTGGATCGGTGCAGTGCCAGCCGTAGTGGTCATTTGGGGAGTGAACCAACGGAAGGAAGACCTTTCTCTCTGTCTCTTTCTTTCACTGTCTGTAACTCTACCTGTCAAAATCATCAAAAAACAAACAAACAAACAAACAAAAAAAAAACAAAAAAAACAACACCATGGTTTATCATTTAGTCTGTCAAATGACTTCAAAACATAATTACTGCTCATGGCAAAACAAGTGAGGTCTGTTGAAAATATAAATGTTTGTTGCATACTTTTCACTTACAAGATTCTCCCCCTTATCATCAAAGTTTGGTTGAGGTAACTGCTCCAGAACTGGTGACTGCTCAAGTATCAAGGGACTGATACTGCTTATATCCTTTTTGCGGACAGGTGTTCCTCCTTTACGCAATGGAGTATTTGCTGGCAAAGATTCATCAAACACTTCAGGGCTCAGATCCTCTCCAAAAGTAACTCTCTTCCTCTTCCTCATATTCAGAAAGGCTGGTGGTGCTTTATAATTTTGATCTTCTACAGATAATAAACAGAAATATATTTTTAAAAATTAAGCTCTACCACTTGTCTAAAAGGCAGATACCAGAATCATTTAAAACAACTGTATTCAGCTATAATCTGTATAACAAAAAACAGTTTATAAAGCAAATTCAAAATGGGAAAAATGAGCAAATCACTAATTAAAAAATGGTACTATATTATAATGTAAGATTTTGCATAAACATCTTTAAAGTTTATAAAATCAGCAAATAAATGTTTAATAAATTCCACCATTAAGTAAAAATGGATAGGACATGTCTGATGCACTCTGAAGAGATTCTATCCCTCTCACTTGTGTTTCATTCTCATGCAATTTCAATAGCATTAAGGCATCTACAGATCATTCTTTAAAAACTTCATATACAAAGAAAAGAAAAAAAAAAAAAAAACTTCATATACACAGCAACTTTTATTAACAAGAAAATGATATGCCCAGGCAAAAGCTAAACATGAATTTCTTACCTGCTTTTTGTTCTTTGCAACAGTTTGCAAGATTTGGGATCAAGTTTGGAGTCCCATCATCACAGAGGTTGTCATGGTGTTCCTAAGCAAAACAAACACCAATGAATAATTTTATGTACATAAATATATATATATATGTATACATAGTCACTAAGAGTGGCAATTTTGAATTTTTCTGCCAAGAACATAAACTCTAGAAATGAAGACTTATTTTCATAATTTTCTGGCTTAAAACACTATGAATCAGTCACAAAGAAAAACTGGGTTGCCTAGAAATTACTTTAGCAAAGGTATTTCAGGCCAAAATTAAAGAACGGAAATGTATAATAGTAACTTAAATTCATTCCATCTTTGATCTAGCTAGTGAAGGTAGGGAAAATGAGAGTGGCTAGAATTATGGGGTACTATATGTGATAACTGATGAGACACAGAATAGTCTAAGGTATATAAATTCTTTTAAAAAAACTAAAAAGAATTCTTAAGAAAAAAACAAACATAAAAAGTATAATAGGGTGTTTTGTCTTTTAAAGATGGGAATTATGTCTTGTATAAGTGTTTAAATCTCCTGTCTACATTATTACATTTTTGAGAAACAAATAAGAAGGTCACATTTTTATTTCTGTGTTTACCCAAATGAAAATTAAAGAGAGGCAAGTTAGAAAGGAAGGCGTATTGTAAACCCTATATATATAGAAGAGGAAAGCCTAACAACAGGATGCAGGACTTTGGCAGGAAAGAGTCAAGTCTATGAACCGGATCAAAGTCTCATCTTAATCATTACCTTCTTGTCCAGCCTCAAGCTAAATCCCTGGACAGCACTTCTTGAGAGCTATACATTTTCCTTTCTTTTCTTTTTTGTTAAAATAAAGACTGATTTATTTATTTGAAAGTCAGAGTTACACAGAGAGAACACACAGAGAGATTTTCTATCTGCTGGTACACTTCTTAGATGGCTGCAAAGGCCAGGGCTGGGCCAGAGAGAAACCAGGAGCCAGGAGCTTCTTTCAGGTCTCTTATGTGGGTAGCAGGAGCCCAAGCACTTGGGCCATCTTCTGCTGCTTTCTCAGGCCTTTACCAGGGAGCTGGATGAGAAGTGCAGCAGCCAGGACATGAACCAGCACCCATTTTGGATGCTAAAATCAAAGGTGGTGTCTTAACCTGCTATACCACAATGCTGACCCCTCATTTACTTCAATACATTCATTCCAGCAACTGCTGTTGCTCTAAGTAACAGTCTTATCCCAAACAATCCTTTCTTTCTCTCTCAAGTCAGTTCATTTTCCTGACTAGGAAAATGCATATACCAATATTTTGAAATAAACTAAACAACAAAGTTGTTTACCTTTGGATTCATTTTTAACTAAAACCACAAAAGTTAGCAATCAACTAAAATTTTATCTGCCTATCAACTCTGGCCAGCTTAGTAAAAGGATCACTGGTTATAAACCTGATGCTAGTGGCAGGACTTAATGGTTGCAATGTCATATTGTGTGTGTGTGTGTGTGTGTGTGTGTGTGAGAGATAGTTAATAAATAAAACTGACACAAATCATTAAGATGTTAAATCTCTTATACAAACACAAGATATGAAAAAGCAGTGATATATGTAACAGAGAACCAAATCAGCTCTTTAACTTAAAAAATCATTAAAACATTTAAAATAGAAATTGAGGGGCAGATGTTGTAGCACAGAGGGCTAAGCTGCCATCCGGGACACCTACATTACATATTGGAGTGCCTGGGATCAAGTCCATGCTCCTCTGTTTCTGATCTGGCTTCTTGCTAATGTTCCCAGAAGACAACAAAGGATGGTCAGGTACTTGGGTTCTTGCCTCATGGCTTTGGTCTGGCCTAGCCCCAGCTGCTGCAGGCATTTGGGGAGTAAACCAGCACATGGAAGATCTCTTAACCTCTGTCTCTCTCTCTCTCTGTCATTCTGACTTTCGAATAAACAAATTAAAAAAAAAAAAAGCAACTCATTATTAATTATCTATGTAGGTAGGAAGTAATCCAGTTCACTTTAGCTTTGAAAACAAATGTATAGGCAAATTTATGTTAAAAAGCTTATGGTTTGGAAAAAATATTTGTAGTTGATGCACTGTTGAGAATTTCATATTATATCCCATTTAATGCTGAAATTAGGGGCTGATGTTTTGGCACAGTAATTTTAACCTGTCACCTGTGATGCCAGCATCCCATATCAAAATGCTACTTCAAGCCCCAAATGTCCTGCTTCCAATCTAGCTCCCTGACAACGTGCCTAGGAAGGCAGCAGAAGATGGCCAAAGGACTTGGGCCATTGCCACCTACAAGAGAGACCAGAAAAAAAAAAAAAAAAAAGAGAGACCAGAAGGAGCTTCAGCCTGGCTCAGCCCCAGCTGTTGTGGCCATTTGTAGAGTGAAACAGTGGATAGAAGAAACAGTGGATAGTGTCACTGCCTTTCAAATAAATAATTTTTTTAAGTTGAAATTATTCTATAAGATAGAACAAACACTATCTTTTTATAGAAAAGGAAACCAGGACTTAAAAGTACTTTGTCCAGCTAAGTTGAGTCAGGATTGGAATTGAATCCAGGCACCCTGACTTCATAGCTTGCACAATCTGTCATGATTTTAACATCACCCTTCTCTGCATTCATTTAACAGCCTCTAAGCCTAAGTGGGACTAATACCTTTCCAGGAATACTACGGCTTATGAATCGCAGAACTGCCAACGGAAACTACACAACAAATGCCAGCCAGTTCTCATCATCTTCCTCTTTCCTCATATTAACTGAGTTTCAATGAACAAGCATGGCTGTAAGAGGTATTTTTAAGGCCAAATATTTTAGGTGAGAAGATAGGTAAAGTAAAAGACTGACAGATTAACTAATATAACTGAATAAAATTAATTATGCTTATATAGTTGATAATTATAATTAAGATCATGAACCCTTTGTAAACTATGGTCTTATATTAAATTCTACATACTGTGTAACCACACTTAAAAAAAAAAAAAAAAAAAAAGAGGGGCCAGCACTGTGGCACACAGTTGGTTAAAGCCCTGGCCTGAAGTGACAGCATCCCATATGGGTACCGGCTGCTCCTCTTCCCATCCAGCTCTCTGCTCTGGCCTGGGATAGCAGTGGAAGATGGCCCACGTCCATGGAATCCTGCACCTGTGTAGGAGACCCGGAAGAAGCTCCTGGCTCCTGGCTTCGGATTGGCCCACTCCAGCCATTGTGGCCATCTGGGGAGTAAACCAGCAGATGGAAGACCTCTCTTCTCTTCTCTACCTCTCTCCGTAGGTCTTTCAAATAAATAAAACAAATCTTAAAAAAAAAGAAAAAAGAAAGAAACAAACTCCACACATCCCACACAGTGCTATAAATGAGAAAAGGAAAAATTTAGAGTGAGATATTTCCTCTTAAACTAGTATGAAATAATGACATTTCAGAGAGGTATCGCTTTGAATCACAATAAATTTTCAATCATTTTAGGAAATCTAACTCTCCTTACCTGTAAGCTCTCTAGAAATGGCTTAACAGAAGGTTTCTTCAGAACAGAACGAAGCACAAAGGTCTCAGTGGATGGGAAGTCCCTCTTGTAGGCAGGACAGGCTGGTGACCTGATGTCAGGGACTGTGCCTGAGTTCATTTCTGTCGTCAGTGTATCAAGATAAACAGCATCCTTCCACCCTTTACCCTCTACACAGTCAGCAATTTTGAGTCCTTCAAGATAAACATGTAAATGTGAGAGGCAGAAGATGTCTAAATCTGTATGCTCTAGATCAAAAATATCCATAGTTTATCTATTTGCAGATAGTAACATGCTCTTAAGAAATTTAAACCAAGGGGTAAACACTGTAGTGCAGTTGGTTAATCTACTACTTGGGACATCACATCCCACATTAGAGTACTAGTACGAGTCTCAGCTCTTCTGCTTCCAATCCAGCTTCCATTAATGTCCCTGGGAAGGCAAGAGATGATGGCCCAAGTACTTGGGCTCCTGTCACCCATGTGGGAAACCTGAATCATGTTCCCAGCTTCTCCTTGCTTTGGCCTGGCTCAGTCCTGGCTATTGCAGGCATTTGGGGAAAGAACCAGCAAATGGAAGTGCTCTCTATTCCTCTCTATATCTTCACCTTTCAACTAACTAAATAAATAAATCTAAAAAGGAAAAAAACAAAAAAAAAACAAAAAAAACCTCAATCTTGGTAGATCCTGCTCAGGGAGTAACATCTGGCATTTCATTTGGAAATATTAAACAGAGAACTGGCAGTGGTCAGTTTTAATTCAAACCTACTAAGGGTAAGTTAAGTATGGAGTTTTGGTTACCATGGAAATCTGCATCAAAGAAGAAGAAATTCTCATGAATCAGCTATTATCCATTAATCTGCCTGAACATCTCTTACTTGCACAATAAAATTCTGTTGAGCACTGCCACATGAGCAACTTTACTGCTGAAGTCAGAAGCATTACTACACATAAGGGTGGTAGAAATGGGAAGAGGAGATGGTGAGATTACCAAACTAGTTCAGCCATATATGCAGTTCCTGCACCCAATGATTCTAGTCACATGTGGTCAAAAGTATTAGAAAAAATGGCATTCATACTGAACATGTGAAGATTTTCTTCTTGTTATTAGTCCCTAAACAATACTATATAACAACTTTACATGGCAGGTGTAAGTAACCAAGAGATTATTTAAGTATCTAGGAGCATGTGCGTAGGTTACTTAAGAGATTTGAGCATCTGTAGATTTTGGCATCCACAAGGGTCCTGGAACCAATAACCCAAGGATACTGAGAGAGGACAGGATCGAGACACTGAATAAGCCCCCACAACGATGCCATGTTTTCTTCCCCAAACTCTTCCTCATAAGACAGCACTAACCTGTGCTTCAGCAATTCCTTTAGCAAATACGTATGGGGCACTTAGGACACAATAGGTGGTCCTCAAGCTCCCCTAACCTTCAGCACAGACAATACAAAATCTAACTGAGAGGACTGGAAGGAAGGAGCTGTGGCCATAAAGGGTAGTCTGAGGGATCCTGGGATAAAACTACTTTGTGTCTTGACTGTAGTATAGTCATATGAATATATACACACGATAAAATTCCATGGGACGAAATATATGCATAAATAAGCACAATGTAAAACTGATGAAATCTGAAGACAAGCTGGTAGGCTGTACCAGTGTCAATTTCCTGGTTGTGACACTGTCACAATTAATCCAGTGAAACTGGATCTCTTTAGAACACTTCTTTAGATCACTTCGTACAACTGCATATGAATCTATATCTCAAAATAAAACTAACCAAGTGAGCCGTGGGTCACTTGGTTATTAATACTCCGCCTGCGGCGCCGGCATCCCATATGAGTGCCGGGTTCTAGTCCCGGTTGCTCCTCTTCCAGTCCAGCTCTCTGCTGTGGCCCTGGAGGGCAGTGGAGGATGGCCCAAGTGCTTGGGCCTCTGCACCAACATGGGAGACCAGGAGGAGGCACCTGGCTCCTGGCTTCGGATCGGCACAGCGCCGACAGTAACAGCCATTTGGGGAGTGAACCAGCAGAGGGAAAACCTTTCTCTCTGTCTCTCTCTCTTACTGTCTGTAACTCTAGCTGTCAAATAAATAAAAAAATTAATTTAAAAAATAAAAATAAAAAATTATTTCTTAGGTTTCTGGTTTCCCTTCTTCCCATATTGTTAGATTTTAAAAATAGAATAAATAAAAAGTTAAAGAAACAAATATACACAAGAACTAATACATGATGTTAAGGGAAATAATACAGAGGTAGAGGACAGGGATTAGATGGGAGGAGGCTATAACTGTTTTTGAATATTCAAGGACACCTTCTGATGTGTGAAAAACATGAGGAAGTGAGGCTTACAGAGATCTAGGGAAGAACTTTTCACTCAGAAAGCCAAGTGAAAATACCTTAAGTAGGAAAGTACCTGGTATAGCAGAGGCACAGCAAGGCCAGTGTGGCTGGGAGAGTGAACAAGGGAAACAGAGCTAAAAAAGCAGCTTGAGGTCAGGTGAGACCTAATAGAAATGGTATGGACCTTGGGTACTACTCCAAGTACAACGGAAAGCCAATGACCATTTTGAGAAGGGAGAAGACATAGTGTGGCATACATTAAAAGCAGCAGTGATAGCTCAAGCAGTTGGGTCCCTGCCACTTATGTGGGAAACCTGGACTATGTTTCTGCCTCTTGGCTTCAGCCCAGCCCCAGGCCTGGCTGTTGTGGGCATCTGGAGAAGGAAGCAACAGATAGCAGGTTTCCATCTGTCTGTTAGCCTCTGTCTCTCAAATAAAGTCTTTTTAAAAGGCCGTATTCTGTCTCCTGTGTAAAAGAATGTAAGAGGGGAGCAGGACAAGGGGGTAGCGGGTAAATCACTGATGATACACAGAAAAACCCAGGTTAGCAATGGTAATAGCCAGGGCCTCAGTGCCAGTAGTATAGGAAGTGAAAATTGGATACATGTCTGATATATTTGCAAGGCAAAAAAGAACCTTTTAATGCAATTCAAAGTTTAATTTGAAAAATAAAGGTGTCAAGATAATTCCAAGGTTTCTGACACATCAATTAGGGGAATTTATTTCTTCATTTACTGAGATGAAGAAAACAAAAGTGATTTAGCTGGTGAAGGAAAAAATAACCTAGAACTATTTAACTGGGGTGTTTATTAGACATTCAAGTGGAGATCTAAAAAAGTAGGTAAGTACTCATACAGATTGGGGAAGAGGCCACAGAAACATTTAAATTTCAAGTCAAGAACCCACAATCCTAGGGACAGTCAAGACAGAAAAAGGATCCAAGTATTGAACTTAGGAGGATTCAAACATTTAAAGGTATGCACAGAAGAGGAGGCACAAAGACAATATACAAAGACATGCAAAGAATGATGTCTTTAAGCCCAGTGAACTAAAGGGTATGGCTGTTATTCTGCCTATATCTGTCTACAATGCTGCCATGACCCCAGGAGAGGAATATATTGAGACCAAATGTGCTGAGGAACGTATTCAGTAGGTATGCAAACTAATGGGATAGCAATGAGGAGATAGCTGATCACCATGCCTATTTGGAACACAATCAAGAAGGAATGGGAGGAAAAGTTCTGACTGGACAGGAATAGGGGGTCAACAAAAAGTTTAAGACGAGACATTACAGTATATTTTACTTTAACGGGAAAAGTTAACAACTCAAAGACAGAGGACAACTCAGACAAGGTGCTTGAAGAGGGAGGGTCAGTAGGAATTGGCCCATAATGAAGGGGAAGGGTCCTGGAAAAGAACATCTCCACTGGAATAACAGGAAATGCAGATACAATTTTATAGAAACACAGCAGAAGCCCAAGACCTCTGCTTCTGACCTCTTTCATTTTCTCAGTAACAGAAGCCAGGAAGGCTGGTGTCATGGCTTAGCAGGCTGAGGCACTGCTTGCGACACCAGAATTACATACCAGAGCACCAGTTAGTCCCGGCTGCTCCACTTTTGATCCAGTGCCTTGCTAATACTTCAGGGAAAGCCCAAGAACTTGGGCCCATGTAACCCATGTAGGCAGAGTTCCTGGCTCTTGGCTTTGGCTTGGCCTAGCCTGGGCAGTGGTAGCCATTTGGGCAGTGAACCAGCAAATGAAAGATGTCTCTTTCTCTGCCCCTCTCTGTATCACTCTTGCCTTTCAAATAAATGAATAAATCTTAAAAAACAAACAAGCAAAAAAACCAGAATGAGCCAGGGACTACAAAAGAGCATCAGGGAACTTCATCTTGCCTTATTCCCGAGTAGAGTTGCCAGATTTAGCAAATAAAGATGCAGGAAAAATCCCAGTAAAATCTGAATTCTATCTAATTACTTATACATATGTACTCTGAAATAAAAAATGTTGCATGAGACATGCACTATAAAAAATTGTTTATAAGAACTAAATTACAATCACCTAAATATTAAAAAAAGAAAAACCCAGAGGGGGCAAGGGAAAAACAAGGTATGAAAGGTGAATTGATTAAGGAAGGTGCCAAGGTACCAAGAGCCCACTAGAGAAAAAACTGTGATGAAGCCAGCAGCTCATCAAATATTTAGCAGCTGTGGGCAGGTGCAGTTTAGGCAGAGATTTACTGGATGTGATTTCTGGTTAGATGGATCAAACGGAGGAAGAGGAGGAGGGGAAGGAGGAACCACAGGCATCACACAGGCTTCCTTTCCAAGCTCACCCCTTCAAGGACTTTCTATCTCATTTCACAGGATTTTTTATTCTTCCTAAAGGTGCACTAAGATATAATAAAATTCTGAGGGGCTATCAAGTAACCAGTTAGAAATAAAGAAGTCAACTCTAGTTGAAACAATGAGGCCCATCACTATGAATCATCTTCCAATCTGTCTTTCCCTGTCTTATCTCTTTGGGAACGGCTTAGTGTGGTGCGCAGGTTTTATGGCCTCATAATACACCACTTCAGACAGATGGAAGGAAAATACCAGAAGTAAACTGAGATCCTCAGGAAAGAATAAAGAGCATCAGAGACGGTCAGTATCTGGGTAAATATAACCAGGAGCTTTTTCCCTTCTTCAAGTTGTTTAAAGTTCATATGAGGACACTTTGAAAAGTTTGTAGAAAATGGCATTCGAAGATATTTATTTTGGTGTAAAATTTTGAAATTCATGCACATGTGAGGTCTTCAAAAAGTTCAAGGAAATGTACATAATGAAAAAACTATGCATGAGTTTCAAATTTTTCTTGCACCAAAAGAAACTTCTTTTAATTCCAATTTTTTTCCACAAATGTTTTTGAAGTCCCTTTATATGACTGTTTAAAGGAAACACAATAGTATCTTGTGGGGTTTATAGTAACATGTATGATACCTATAGTTTGAACAGTCATAAAAGGATTGCTGGAAAAGTAAGGCATAGTTTTCTAAAACATTTCTATTAGGGCAAGGGCTCCTAAAAGGCAGAGAACCATTAAGGTTTCCTCAAATTTCAGCATACAGTACACGTACACTAATCACAAATGTCTACCAAATGTGTAAGAGGCACAGGTACCAGGAAAAAATTAAATACTTGCCATGTGACGCCTTTGTGAGCTCTGAAAGGGGAACAGACCCTTCAGCTAAACATCCAGGCTCTGTTAAGCCAAGTTCAGACGACTTCTGGGAAAACATTTAAAGAAAAAAGTAGTATTACATTTTTTTACTTACAATATTACTGATACCTTTATGAAGATTTAAGTAAGCTTTATGGATTACCTGGAAATTTGGGGTTCAGTCACCCTTGTCATCTAGCATACTCAAAATATGCAGAAATTTAACAATGGAATATTCACCCTTAATTGTATCCTTAACATCTCACAAAACAAATTCCATCCCCTAGAAAAAGTTTAAAGGACACATTTTTGTTCTCTTATTGAAACCTATTAAGTTATGCCATCTGTTAGACTTTTTTAAAGAAGAAATTCTAGGCCGGCAGCAAGGCTCATTAGGCTAATCCTCCGCCTGCAGCGCCGGCACTCCGGGTTCTAGTCCCAGTTGGGGCGCCGGATACTGTTCCTGTTGCTCCTCTTCCAGGCCAGCTCTCTGCTGTGGCCCGGGAAGGCAGTGGAGGATGGCCCAAGTCCTTGGGCCCTGAAACCATATGGGAGACCAGGAGGAGGCACCTGGCTCCTGGCTTCCGATCAGTGCAGCGCGCTAGCTGCAACAGCCACTTGGGGGGGTGAACCAACGGAAAAAGGAAGACCTTTTTCTCTGTCTCTCTCACTAACTCTGCCTGTCAAAAAGAAAAAAAAAAAAAAAAGAAAATTCTAAAAATAAAGTTTTACGGAATTATCAAACAATGGCTAAGGATACAAGAAAATATTACTGGCCAGGGATAAAATATTCATATTAATTCAGAAATTATTTTTAAATAGCGATGTAGATGCAAATAATTAAGCAAAGTTCTTATAAGATTATAGGTGACTCAAATATAAATAGAACGCACTGGACCCTCAAGGCTGTCTCACAACTATCAAACACTTACTATGCCAGTCCAAGTAAGATGAACAGGCCACATACTGGATCTAAGTGACAGAGACTTAGAGAAAAAGTTCCAACTATAATGGCAGTAGGCAGCTCCTTTCAGGAAAGAAATGAGAACCTATCATCTCCCACCAGAATTATGAGCAGGAAGCAGGAGAAGTCAATCATTAGATCAGCTTCCCTGCTCACATTGTTAAGATAACAGATCCTCATGGGTCTTATTTGTCACTTTAGTTAGTAAAATTCACATTGGTTCTTGTCTTTGGATAATCTTGACAGGCTTTGGTATAGGTATTTTTTAAGCTACAGAAGTCTCAAAAGCTATGTGAAAGAAACAAGCAGAGCAAAGGAGGAAGTGCTAGATGGTTACTATACCAGCCAGGGACAGCAAAAGGAAACCAAAGACTCCCAGATCTGAGGAGCACATAGCATATATAACCTCCATCCTATTTATCAGCAGAGATGACATAATCTGTTCCCAACAGACCAAAAGCTGCTTGAGGGCAGGACTGTGATGTATTCCCTGTTAAATCATCATCTTCTAGAACAGCTATAGGCAGAAGACCTCAGGACTCAATCTTTTTATTGACTTAGTAATCAAAAACAAGTTATTTATGAAAACACTTTCTAATAAGCAATAAACCTACCTACAACAATAAAACTTGTAGGAAACATACACAAACAGACATAAGTGTGCAATTTAAAATGCCAGTTACTATAAGCTAGAAAAAGGAACCAAAATTCAAGAAAGGCCCTGGCAATCTAAAAATTGCCTATACAGAAAACCTAAGCTTCATGTTCCTCCCTGCAAAGTAAATAAATTACCTTGGAGAAACCTGTAGAAGTTTCAATTGTGCATACTCTGCCTGTATCAATGTTGAAAATATGGAGAGCCATTACTCTGCCTTCGGCATCAGTTAGGTCTTCATCAGAGATACTCTGAGAGGATATTCTCCGACGCTTGGATGGTATCTCTGCAAGAAGCCCAGGCTGCTGACGTTCAATAATGTCTTCATCTACGGCAACACACACAACACCAAAAAAAAAATGACATAACATAGGCAAAATTTTCTTTTAGAGGATCATTTTAAAATTTTGTTAAGTTTGGGAAATCAAGTGTTAGTGTCTATTCAATGGAAATTCTAGCACATTTTTATTCAAAAAAATAAATTTAGCTGAAAGGCAGGAGAACATTACAACTAAAAGATAATAAATTATTACAAATGAATTTGTATTAGTGATATGGTATCTTTTAAATCCATGATGAAACCTTCTGTTTTGAACACTGTAAGGAATTTTTTTTTTGAGAGTGAGAGTAAGAGTGAAAGTGAGAGTGAGAGTGAGAGAGAGAGAGAAAGAGATCTTCCATCTGCTGGGTTACTCTCAAGATGGACACAACAGCCAGAGCTGGGCCAAGCCAAAACCAGGAGCTTCTTCTGGGTTCCCCACATGGGTGACAGGGGCCCAAGCACTTAGGTCATCTTCTGCTGTATTCCCAGGCCATTATCAGGGAAGTGGAGCAACCAGGACATGAACAGGTGCCTATAAGGGATGCCAAAGTTGAAGGCCACAGCTTTACCCACTATAACACAATGTTGGCTCCACGAATGTTCATTTTCTAATACTGTTCTGTTTTGATTGTGTATAATTTTGTAAAAAAAAAAACAAAAAAACAAAAAAACACACACACACATAAAAAATTGGCCTCAGTTCTTTCTTCTTACAAAAAAGGAATCTGCAGAATTATAACAATGACATAAAATACATTTAAAAATCCATACAAAAACTTAAAAGAGGTAAGCTACAAATTACACTTACAGATCAGAATATCTGAATGGGTCATGTACAGTAGAAATAGAAGAATAACATTTGTTGAGTAAACAATGCACAGCACACAAGGTGCTGAAATGCACTTCAAGAAGTTTCAAGATGTTAAAACAAAAACAAAAAAAAGATGTCAAAACAAAATCATTTAGAACCATAAAGTGTAAAACACCTTAAGAATGATTATGATTACAGTAAGGTCAGGATTTTGTGGAATTCTGACTAGAATGCTTTGTGATCAAAAAAAAAATTAAATGTGACTGAAAAATAACCAATCTAAAGTAAAGAATACGGCAGACTATTAAAAGATATCAGGCTGGAGACATTTCTAAACATGAGTGTTGGGTGTTTGGAATTCAGATAAATGCTTGCCAAATTTAGTGATTCTGTAAAAATAAAGGTTTGTCAACCCAAATTTGCCATATGCCCTAAGCTGAAACAACTAATTAGTTGATCTTATCAGAACTGAAAACTTAATTATGACCAGCTGAAAATGAAGCCTTAACAATGCCTGGTATCGATCAGGGCTCATGCTGTGGGGCAGCAGGTTAAAACCCTGGCCTGAAGCACTAACATCCCATTTGGGCACCAGTTCTAGTCCCGGCTGCCCCTCTTCCTATCCAGCTCTCTGCTATGGCCTGGGAAAGCAGTGGAAGATGGCCCGAGTCCTTGGGCCCCTGCACACATATGAGATACCTGGAAGAAGCTCCTGGCTCCGTACTGGCGTAGCTCCGGTTGTTATAGCCCTCTGGGGAGTGAACCAGCGGAAGGAAGACCTCTCTCTCTCTCTCTCTCTGAAACTCTACTTTCAAATAAATAAAATAAATCTTTAAAAAAAAAATCCCTGGTATCAGGTTTTTTAAGAGACATCAGAAATCCAGACTTTCTGTATGAAGGTTCTAATCCTGGTTGGGGCACCGGATTCTGTCCCGGTTGCTCCTCTTCCAGGTCAGCTCTCTGCTATGGCCCGGGAGTGCAATGGAGGATGGCCCAAGTTCTTGGGCCCTGCACTCGCATAGGAGACCAGGAGGAGGCACCTGGCTCCTGGCTTCGGATCAGCGTGGCGCAGTGCAGCGGGCTGGCCATAGCTGCCATTTGGAGGGTAAGCCAATGGAAGGAAGACCTTTCTCTCTCTCTCTGTCTAACTCTGCCTGTCAAAAAAAAAAAAAAAAAAAAAAAAAAAAAAAAAAGTCAGGTTCTATGATAAAATAAAACTGTGTTCTAAAAAGATGATTACTTTTACACTGTGGATACATCTTCTTTATATTGTGGAATCAAGTCTTTAAAAGCATAGAAGTCAAAATTGATGAATGATTCCTACTCACTCAGATTTGCTGTCTCCATCTCTCTCTGTGCCTCTGAGAAGTCTGGACAGGCAGCCATTTGCTCGTATTCCTTTATGGAGTGAAAAGCTGACTGGAAGGCAGATATTCGCTCTCGCAAGGAATTAACATTTCCATACAGTCCAGGGCTGCCCTATTGAAGTATAAACCAGAGCGTGTCATAAAGTTTCTATATTCTAGGTCTATAACCACTGAATCCACAACTACATGCACAAGGGCCTTTTGAAGGTCAGAAGTCATCAATGGAGGCAGCAAGGCTCTACTCCCTGGAATGAAGCATCTTCCATGTGAATAGCGGGCATGCTGTAATCATTGCAGTCTCCCTTCCATTCCTCCCACAGTGTTCAGCAAAACCTAAGCTAAGAGTAGTAGCAGTGTGCAGCAGAGGGCTGCGTGGCGACATGCTTGTGAACACCAATACTTCCAGACCCATGCATCACACGCAGAAGTCTGGCACTGGTACTAAATGTTTTAAAAAGGCATCCAGACAAAATGCATCCCAAATACACGGTGTATAAACAACTCTTAGAAGGATTCTCAGAGATTTAAAGGCTTTCATTGTTACTTTAGTATTCATTACCTGAGATACTCTCAGCAAAATAAATCTGAAAGGGAAAGAGATTCAGCTCAAAGATGTTTGAGGGAGACCAACCTGAGAGACTATTTGATGATACAAAGAAAGCAGTGAATACCAGAGATGGGGCCAGGAAGAAGGGAGAGGAGAAATCTACTTATCTAGGAATTTTCCCATGGGTTATGATGATAGTGCCCAGTGGGAGTCAACTGAGGGGCACTACTGTTGCACGTCAGCCTTGGCATACCTCCTTCTGTCCAAGCTGGTGTCTTCACACACCTCCAGGCCACACATGCCCTCTAGTCCAGGAGGTCAGAAGGAGACACTGAGGCTCCACACTAGTGCTGAGACCCACTCTCGCATTACTCTCCCCTGCTAAAACTGTCATGATTTCATGGGACCTGGAGAAGGTTCATGTCCTGGGGGTTGAAAAAAGCTATTCACCTAGACACTAAGTTATATGGTGACCACTCACAAGCTTTCTGGAAACCCTGCTAATGTGTCCAAGTCAAAGAAAGAAAAAAGGCTGGCGCCACGGCTCACTAGGCTAATCCTCCGCCTTGCGGCGCCGGCACACCGGGTTCTAGTCCCGGTCGGGGTGCCGGATTCTGTCCCGGTTGCCCCTCTTCCAGGCCAGCTCTCTGCTGTGGCCAGGGAGGGCAGTGGAGGATGGCCCAAGTGCTTGGGCCCTGCACCCCATGGGAGACCAGGATGAGTACCTGGCTCCTGCCATCGGATCAGCGCGGTGCGCCGGCCGCAGCGCGCCAGCCGCGGCGGCCATTGGAGGGTGAACCAATGGCAAAGAAAGACCTTTCTCTCTCTCTCTCACTGTCCACTCTGCCTATCAAAAAAAAAAAAAAAAAAAATTATGGCAGTCAGAAGGAAGTAGTGATTATACATCAAATAAGTTTACTATTCAGATTTTTTTCCTCTTACACCAATGGGCAATAGTAAAGTAAAAGTTACCTTTGAAGATATTGCATGAAGAAAAAGCAGTTAACATCTCGTAGCCATGTTTGATGGTGAACTGTTCACACCTTTGAGTCTATTCCCAGTTAAATTCACTCATAAAGTAAACCCTCTGTGACATAAGACCAGAACACTTTAAATTCAAATATGCTGATGATGTAAACCTTTATGATGCAAACAACACATAATATGCATAAAAGGCTTTTGCACAACTCATCTGGTTGAGACAAGGTTATCTTAGAGTTATACACTTTACCTTGAATTTTTTTTAAACTTATATTTGAACATGTTAGACTGTAGTAGGGCTAAGTATAACTCAGAACTCTTTGAAAGCTGTTTAAAACAAATTCTAAGTTTCTCCAGCCAAATTTATTTTTATTTTCTGCTGGAGAAAGAGAACAGTGGCGACATGATACATGGATGAAAAGTCCAAACGTACTGCTTTCTGGATGCTTTTGTCTAATGAATGGTGTCGGGCAGTTGCCAACACCCCTTCTACACACCAGAAACTGTTCTAGCAGCTCAGGATCCAGGAAGAAAACTACATTCTAGAGTGAAATTCTGGGAATACAGAGTTTCAGGTACAAGAGGTGCTACAGAGAAGATCAAGCATTGTTGTGACTAAGTGACTAAAAGTTATGACTTTTCAGTCAGAACAAAACTCCATCTGAAGTAACATATGAGTTGAAAAGGTAGTTTAAGGGAAGTGATCAGTGAGGGAGGGGGAACAAGAGCCAAGCCCCCCCCCCCCAAAAAAAAAAAACAGGGTGGTTGCTGGAAGAAGCCAGGCTGCCCAGTGAATGGAAACAGACCAGGAGATGGTGCCAGCACCAGACAGGACTCAACTCAGGGAGTGAATGTGAAGGCTTCAGGAAACAGTCTAATTCAAGCATATCAAGAAAATACAGGATAGTTCCAAGCAGCTAGTGATTAGCCAGATTTATACAAAATCCATCTCTCTGACATCTATGTGAAATGCTGGATGGATTAGAGAAAGGGAGAAGAGACCAATGATGAAAAAGCAGCTGGGAGTCTTGGCAATAATCACATGAAGGTACATGTAGCATGTAGCAGTGGAGCTGTGAGAGGTGAGAAATTACAGATAGGTTTTTGAAATGCAACCTAAAGTTGGTTGTGATTTAGATGAGGGATACAAGAAAGAAAAGAAGCAAGGAAGACTAATAGATATCTGGCCAACTGGATGATGATGACTTGGACTGAGGTGCGGAGGTGCTCTGAAAGAGCTGGCAGAGTGGAAATCTAGTTTGGATTTGGTCATATTTATGCTTGAAATGCTTATCACACACCCTCATGAAGATACTGAACAGACAACTGGCAACTAGATCTGGAGCTCTCAGGAGCTCTGGGCTGAAGACAAACATTTTGGAGCCATCAGTCTACAAATGACTGAAGCAAAGATGTGGGAGCAGAGAGGAACCCTGGGGACTCCAGCATTTTTTGACAGCAAAACTGAAGAAGGGGAAGAATTAGCAAATGAAAGAAGGACCGACCTGTGTGACACAGGAAAAAAGATCAGGTCCATGTGGGAAAAAAACAGCTGACAGGGGAAGTCAACAAACAAAACCTGACTTGCTAGAGCAAGCTGGAACTAACAGGAAACAAACTGACCTGCTACAGACCCCACAGCATCAGATACTTCTGAAATAAGGGTACGGGTAGGACTACAAACAGAAGAAAGGTTGAAACTGTGCCAAAGATCTTGAACCCTCTCGATTGCTCCACAAATAGTTTTGGAGAGAATATGGAGACACAAGACTCAAGAACTCCAAGAGCACAGAGGACAGAGGTGTCACATCTCCTCAATGAACAGTGATATTTCCATCCATATTTTCCTACTAACTGTCAGAGTCCTAGGGCTCAGGTATGTACCACCAAGAATTTTTCTTAGGGAAAACAGATCAGCCAAAGGGAAAAGCCCCCTAGATGCTGACATTTCGGAGTCCTGTCACAGACAATGTGGCTGGCTCTTTTGCCCTACATAGCACTCTACTAGTCAACAAATTCTGTTTGTGCACATGGAGTTCCCAAGTAGTTTTCCACAGTGTCTCTCTCTTACCTATCAACAGTCAAAGATCAGCAGGTATCTGAACACAACACAGTTCAAAAAATGAAATAAGCAGTGAAAAAGAACCCAAGAGATCAAGAAAAACAATTTTAAAATTATTATATCCCCAATAATCCACAACAGAAGACATATTATATCACTAAATGTTGTAATGTCACAATAGAACTTCCAGAATGAAAAAAACAAGGAATTAGGAGTTAAAATATTTGTTGAATGAAAGAATTATCAGGACTCAAATTTTGCAAACTAAATTACATTGGAGAATTGCCTTCAAAATTTTGATGGAAAAAATTTCAACCTAGATTTCTATTCCAACACAAAAGATAATCAGATGTGCTGGCAGATCAAACTTCAACAGATAAGCAGACTTTTGGTGCTGGCGTCATGGTGCAAGTGCTTACTGAGCGCTGTCTGTGACACCAGCATCCTATATGGGTACTGGTTCATGTTCTGACTACTCTACTTCCAAACCAGCTCCTGCTAATATGCATGGGAAAGCAGAAGATGGCCCAAGTGCTTCGGCCCCTACCACCCACATCAGAGACACAGATGAAGCTCCTGGCTTCAGTGTGGCCCAGCCCAGGCCATTCGGGTCATTTGGGGTGCAGCAAATGGAAGATCTCTCTAACTCTGCCTTTCAAATAAAATAAATCCTTGGGGAAAAAAAAAAAAAAAAGCCTGCAGCATTTCCAGAAAAAAATGAGGAACTAAATGAACAAAGATACAAGAACAAGAAAACAGGTGATTCAAATGGGACAATCTAAGGGAATTATTGGGGCTGTCACTGTGGTGTAGCAGGTAAAGCTGACGTCTGCAGTGCCAGCATCCCATCTGGGCATTGGTTCAAGTCCTGGCTGCTCCACTTCCAATCCAGCTCTCTGCTATGGCCTGGGAAAGCACTAGAAGATGGCTCAAGTTCTTGGGCCCCTGCACCTACACGGGAGACCCAAAAGAAGCTCCTGGTTTCTAATCAGCCTAGCTACGGTCATTGCGGCCAATTGGGGAGTGACCAGTGGATGGAAGACCTCTCTCTCTGCCTCTCCTTCTCTCTCTGTGTAACTCTATCAAATAAATAAATAAATCTTAAAAAAAAAAAAAAAAGGAATTACTGAGGATGAATTAAAAGAAGTCACAAAAGACATCTGTCTAGCAAGCTTTAACAGTGATCACGCTACACAGAAGTCTCCAAGAAAATGAACTGATAGGTTTACTGTGACTTCAAATTTTCAGGATGGGATTATATAATAAAAGACTAAACAAACAGAAAGAAGTACTCATTTACTAGGAAAAACAAAAGCTGTGCCAAAAAGGAAATCACAGCACAGCAACTAGCAGTTTGTGAAAAATATAGCGTGCTGCTGGCGCCGTGGCTCACTAGGCTAATCCTCCGCCTTTCGGCGCCGGCACACAGGGTTCTAGTTACGGGTCGGGGCGCCGGATTCTGTCCCGGTTGCCCCTCTTCCAGGCCAGCTCTCTGCTGTGGCCAGGGAGTGCAGTGGAGGATGGCCCAAGTACTTGGGCCCTGCACCCAATGGGAGACCAGGAGAAGTACCTGGCTCCTGCCATCGGATCAGCGCAGTGCGCCGGCCGCGGCGGCCATTGGAGGGTGAACCAACGGCAAAGGAAGACCTTTCTCTCTGTCTCTCTCTCTCTCTCTCACTGTCCACTCTGCCTGTCAAAAAATAAAAAAATTTAAAAAAAAAGAAAAATATAGCGTGCTAAATAATGCATACTGAACTCCGATTTAAACAAAAATTATAACTGTATTAGAAGGACGGGGAGTGGGGAAAGTGTTGGGACATGTATGGGTAGGAAACGTGAGGAAAAAAATCTATTTTTCATAGAAATAACAATAGCAAATCCAAAGCATACCATTCATGTCACAGGCATTGCTGGAAGCACATCTTATCTCTTAATCATTCTCATTAAAATCCTTGCTATTATTATCACCAAATAACTTGACAAAGTTCACAATTAATTCATAACAAAGCCAAGAATCAAACCCAAGCAATATTGTTCCAGATTCCATGTTCTTTTCTACTACAACAGCAGTTCTCACTTCTTTTTTTTTTTTTTTTTTTTTTTTTGACAGGCAGAGTTAGACAGTAAGAGAGAATAACAGAAAGGTCTTCCTTCCGTTGGTTCACCCCCCAAATGGCCGCTATGGCCGGCGTGTAGCGCCAATCCAAAGCCAGGAGACAGGTGCTTCCTCCTGGTCCCCTATGCGAGTGCAGGGGCTCAAGGACTTGGGCCATTCTCCACTGCCTTCCTGGGCCACAGCAGAGAGCTGGAATGGAAGAGGAGCAACCGGGACAGAATCCGGTGCCCCAACCCGGACTAGAACCCAGGGTGCCAGTGCTGCAGGCAGAGGATTAGCCAAGTGAGCCGCGGTGCTGGCTTTTTTTTTTTTGAAAAGTAGAAAGAAACAGAGATCTTCCCTAAATGCCAGCAATACCTGGGGCTAAGCCAAGCCCATGCCAGGAGCCAAGAACCCAATCCAAGTCTCCCACATAGGTGGCAGGGATCCAACTAAAGCCATCACCTGCTCCATGCCAGGTTGCACATCAGTAAGAAGTTGAAATCAAGAGAGAAATCCAGACCTTAATACAGCCACTCACACTCAGATAGGGAATGTAGGTATTTCAAGTAGCCTATTAACAGCTTGGTCCTTTTCCAATTTTTAAAAAAATATTTATTGTTTGAGAGGCAGAGTTAGAGAGACAGAGAGAGACAGAGACAGAGAAAGGTCTTCCATCCACTGGTTCACTCCCCCAAAAGGCCAGAAGGGCTAGAGCTGGGCTGATCCAAAGCCAGGAAATGGAGTTTCTTCAGGGTCTCCCATGCGGGTGCAGAGGCCCAAACATTTGGGCAATCTTTCACTGCTTTCCCAAGACATAATAAGCAGAGAGCTATATTGGAAGAGGAGCAGCCAGGACACGAACCCATATGGGATGCCGGTGCCACAGGAGGAAGCTTAGCCTACTAGGCCACAGCGCCAGCCCTGCCCCTTTTCTATTCTTAAAAATTGTGGACTCTGGACTCTTTGTTTATATTGGTTATATAGATCAAAAGTTCCTTAACAGCCTTTTCAGAGTAGTGGAAATCTATTAATACACACAGCTCAATGGCATCATTGCACAGCTAGTTAAGCTGCCAGCTGGGACACCTACATCCCTTACAGTGCCATTTGAGTCCAGTTACTCTGCTTCCAATCCAGCTCCTTGCTGACATGCCTCAGAAGTAGCAGATGATGGCCAAGTTCCTGCCTTCCACCTGGGAGACTTGAAAGGAGTTCCTGGCCTGGCCTAGCTCGGCTGTTGCAGGCATCTGAGGAATGAACAAGCAGATGGAAGACATATGTCACTCTGCCTTTCAAATAAATAAATCTTAAAAATTTTTTTCTTGGGAGCCAGCATTGTGGTGGAACAGGTAAAGCTGCCACCTATGATCCCATATGGGTGCCAGTTTGAGTCCCGGATGTTCCACTTCTGATCCAGCTCCCTGCTAATGTGCCTGGGAAGGCAACAAATAATAGCCCAAATTCATTAGGCCCCTGCACTCACATAGGAGACCCAGAAGATGATCCTGGCTCCTGACTTTGGTCTGGCCCAGCCCCAGCAGTTGCAGTCATTTGGAGAGTAAACAAGCAGAAGGAAGCTCTCTGTCTCTCAAATAAATAAATCTCAGAAATAAAATATTCTTAAAGGTTAGTTGCAAATGCCAAGTATGAATCCATGTCAATGAACTTTCATACTTGTACCTATGCATGATTTTGTAACAGTATGTGCTACTCATTTGGAAAATATTAGTTCAATGAGTCATGAGGATCTTCCAAATGTTAACACATTTTATTCAGCAGTTTCAACATATCACATTCATGAATACACTTATCAATCAATCATCAAGTCTAACTGTGGGGCAGTTGTCAAGCTTATGTTTCCAAAACTCTGATTTTCTCTTAAAAAATAAAATTTTCACTAGTAAATATTTTAATTTTTGTGGCCAGATTCATGGTTCATTTTTTATAAAACAACCACACTTCCAAGTCTAATTGTGGATCAATTGTCCTTTCAAGTAAAAATTATGTTCCAGGAAGAGTGGTTTGTTTGGCCCATAGCTCAATCACACAAATGTTTTCCTCAAACGCCCATCATACATCTGTAGGCACCTATGGAGTGACTGATGCATACTTCCCATTTCATCCCATGTGATACTTAAGGGATGAAATTTAATAAAACTAGTAATCTGGGGCTGGTGCCATGGCTCACTTGGTTAATCCTCTGCCTGTGGCACCAGCATCCCATATGAGTGCCGGGTTCTAGTCCCAGTTGCTTCTCTTCCAGTCCAGCTCTCTGCTGTGGCCCGGGAAAGCAGTGGACGATGGCCCAAGTGCTTGGGCCCTGCACCAACATGGGAGACCAGGAGGAAGCACCTGGCTCCTGGCTTCAGATCGGCGCAGTGCCGGCTGAAGCGGCCATTTAGGGGGGTGAACCAACGAAAGGAAGAACTTTGTCTCTCTAACTCTGCCTGTCAAATAAAAAAATAAAAAATAAAAATAAAAATAAAAAAACTAGTAACCTTTAATATTTCATCAAAGACATATACTGAAATTGGCATTTCTGCTTCCTGTGAATGCCTAGCAATGACAAATTCAATGACAGCTTGGGGCCCATGCCTTCATTAATGCTGAGGCATCATCATTGGTTTTGCACACATCAATAAAAAAAGCCCAAAATCATTTTAGTACCATTACAAATATAGTTTAGACTTCAATGATGTCCTGATAAGGGACTCAGCGACCTCATGGGTTTTTTTGTGCATGGCAAACTTTGAGAATAGCTGTTTCAAAGTGGTTCTCACTTGAAACACACAAAAATGAAGTAGCAATAAAAGTAAATTATTTTAAAATAGGAAGGCCAATACCAAGAGTCAAAAGGGACTGTCTTCAAGACAGAAGCTGGGGGCATGTGTCTTTCACATAATAAACCTTATATTACTATTTAACATTTTCAACATGAGCATTATGTTGATAAAAAAAAAAACCTGGAGGAAATAAAAAAAGCAGTTTGCTTCTTCCACAATAGTGTCCCAAATGAATTTTGTCCTGTGAGACCCTTGTCTCAACACACCAATAATAACAGCTCTGAAAAAAAATCAGAAACTATTTTTAAAAGAAAAAAATTGAACACTGCTTTACCTCATTATAGAAAACAGACATTAACAAAGGAAAAAACTTACAAAATAAATTACAAAGTTCCTGCAAAACCCATTTCTATCCTGGTCTCAGAACTTAGAATGTTCAACATCGTCATTTATGCAAAACACATATTCTCTGTAAGACACAGAGAAAACGTTCTCTCCTCAGATCTAAAACAGGTTCAGAAGAGCCTTGCATGAAAGCTTCATCACAGAGCAAAACATCTCTTCTTTCTCTAGAAAAAGTCTTAGCAGAAATCAGAAGAAAATCCAACCTGAAAAGGGGAATCCTGTGCCAAAGGAGATTTCGCAGCATTCTTTAAACTCCGCTGCTGAGCAATGAAGCGGATTAGATGGTTTGTTTCGGGAGAGCCTCGGGCACCAACTGCAGAACGCCGTCTGGATTTCTTCAGGCAGGATGCTGACTTTCCTATGAGGAAACTCTCTCGTCAATCAGAACAAAACAGGCAATCACTAGTAATCATGTCCAATGCCCAGGATGGGCCAGCCTGACAGGGAAAAGACGGTAACCACCTGGTACACAAGGCTATATGGAGAACTATCGGCAAGGTAGTTCCCACATGATCTACTGGACAGAAGTCTTTGCGTTTTCCACTGATTTAGTCCACACTCAGAGAACACTGACTAACACATACACAGCATTTACTCAATAGCTGCTGCAAGAATACATGCATGTATCTTAACAAATAGCTATCATTTGTGTTCTTTCTGCACATGGAGGTGGCTAATGGGTAGCTACTGACGAAAAACTTCTAATTTTGAATGAGTTTTATTCCGAAGGCCTGAAAGAAGTTCATCTAGGCAAATGTATCTCCTATTCTTAATTCTTCAAGACAACCTTGATTCTCTTAGATACCTTTCTGCCCTTTAGTTCACCACCTTGAATTTTTGCCTTATGTCTAAACACAAAAGATGAATCCAGGGCCGGTGCTGTGGCACAGCAGGTAAAGCCACCTCCTGTGGTGCCGGCATCCCACATGGGTGCTAGATCAAGTTCCAGCTGCTCCACTTCCGATCCAGCTCTCTGCTGTGGCCTGGGAAAGCAGTAGAAGATGGCCCAAGTCCTTGGGCCCCTGCACCTGCGTCGGACACCTGGAGGACGCTCCTGGCTTTGGAACAGCTCAGCTCTGGTCATTAAGGCCATCTGGGGAATAACCAGCAGATAGAAGACCTCTCTCTGTCTCTGCCTCTTTCTCTCTATAACTCTGCCTTTCAAATAAACAAATAAATCTTTTTAAAAAAATGAATCTAGCTTTTGAAAGGTCTGAGTGAACTCTCGAGAAAACACAGAAGAGTGTGCCACTCCAGCCTCGTCTCAGTCATGTATAACCTGTTCTGGTGCCCTTAGACTCTCACGTCCCCAGCTTTCCCCCATTTTTAAATGCTGTTCTCTAATCCAATTCCTTTGCCCTATTTCTTACTTCTTCATCTGAGTCAGACTTCACAGGTGGATTTCATTTCTAAGGCTTGAAACAGCCTGGCCCCTGAGGTGGTACTCTGAATGTGGTTTGTGAAGGGGGGCACGCTCCAATCTTTCAATATTACAGAATCTTAAAGGCTCTTCAAGGTCCTCTTACTTGCTACACATAAACATAAAACGTATTATGACACACATTATGCACGCTCTTGAGTTCCAAGTGTTAGGTGAAAAAGTGGTTCCCACACACATCCTTTTCCAGAATGGGCATGGAACACAAACTCCGACCTGACCTGGGACATGATCACCCTGGATATCCTGGAACTCTGTTACCCTTGCTAGGTGAGACGAGCTATGCATGTGCACAGAGGCTGCCTGAACAAGCAAGTGTGCACAATTCACACCCCTAAAACAGACAGTGCAGACAAATAAAACTGACTATACTAAAGTTATCTTAAAACCTGAAAAGCCTGGCAAGGGAATAAGGTTTCTTACCTGAAGAGTTCCTCACAAAGCTGTCAGGTGTAATTCCCAGCTGCTCTACAGTTACGGTGGAAAAATCCAAAGGTGTTTTAGAAGCATCAGGGGTGCAAAAATGAGGACTCACTTCTGCCACATGCTTCTGGGGCGTCCCAAACTTCCCAGCTTCCCACACGAAGGCGGCATTTTCTGAAACGAACACCATGTTGCAGGAGCAAAGCATCTTTAGGAACAGAAATATCTGAACTTTTACCTTTCACAAAGAAGCAACAGCTCTCCACCTACCAGCATTAGCAGGAGCAGACTCCTTGGCTTCAAGGTGCTCCTTGGCTTTCGAATCAGTTTCCATCTAATGGAAACAAACAAACAAAAAAACCTCCATTACTAAGTTAAATGTGCGTCAATCAAGAATTTAATCCAGACTGAACTTTAATACGATCTACACCGCCTTACAAATACATTATCAAGAGAGTACTTCGGGGGCTCCAATTAAAAAGTGTTAAGAAACTGCTGTTCAGGAAGAACAAAGCAGGTCAGTGTTCCACGGGCCACGGCATTTCCACCTCAGGGAACACCCGAATTACCTGGCACCCCACTAAGGAGGCAGTCTTGAACGTGTCCAGAAATTCTAATCCTGCACGTCCGGACCGGAGCCCCCTCCCCAGAACCTGCATTTTAAAGAGCACCGCGGGCGACCCACAGCAGGCCGGAGGAGAACCAGTACCTCCAGGGGCAGAGGTCCAGCACGCTTAGAACCAGATCCGCGGAGCCGCCAGCGAAACCGGAACCGGGACACCTCCGACCCCTCTCGTCCACCACCTCAGCGTCCCCGGCAGCAGACCAGTGTCGCGGTGGCCGTGACTTTCCGACCCCGGCGACTCGACCCGGAAGTGTCCGCACTGGCCAGCAGCCCAAGAGCTACTCTGGCCCCCGCGCCTCCCCGGCCCCGAAGCCAGCGGCGACTGCTGCACCCCTCAGCCGGCCCCGCCACCCTTCTGCCCGCGGCCAGATTCAAATCGCCGGGCCCGCCCCCTCCGGCCGGCGTTATCGAGAATCTCTACGCCGCTGCCCCTCCCACACGTGTCCGCGTGCTCCCCGACTCGCCAGCCTCTCTCGCCGTCCCCAAGAAGCGGCTAGCCGGGCTCGGAGAGAAATCACTTAGAGCCTTGGGCGACGCACTCATAGACAGACACCTTCGGGCAACCTGTGTCCACGGGGACTACTTTCTGTGAGAGCCCCGCGGAGGGACCTTTCGGTTAGGCTGCAACTCCGCCTCCCACCTTGCTATTGGATACTGCAAACTTTAAAAAGAATCATTTGACCAATCCCCACAGGACGACGGGCCGGTTCTTACCCAATTAGCCAATCCCGATAACAGCCGTTTCCTCGCTAGCTTGAAATGTGGGAAGGGTAGTGGAAGGGGGCGGTGCTTACTGATGTTTGGGTCCCTTCTAGAGCGCCACTCTTTTTCCTCAAACCCCGCCTTCTTATGCAGATAAGCGCTACCTAGATTTGGGTGTGCGCCTGCTCAGTCATGCTTAGAGCCGCCGCTCGACTCTAGCTTCGTCTCTGATTGGCTGAGTCCCCTTCCCGTCTACTCGCCTTCAGCTTTTCTTCCCTCCCTCCGTCCGAGTTGGGTTGGTCAGAACCCACCCATCCAGAGCCGCTCATTGGTTGCGTTCTGGCCGGAGACGGCGTTTGATTGGTGAAGCTCACGGTCCGTCTCGGCGCTGTGGGGGAAGGGCCCCAGGCAGGCTGAGGCGCCTAGGGGCGGGGTGGGAAGGAGGACCGGCCAACCCCGGGGTGTGGGACCCGGAGTGCTTGTGTGTGTGGTGTGTCCGCAAGAGAAGGAAGGTGGCGAAGGGAGGAGAACCCGAGTGGGTGGAGGGAGGGGAAGGGCGGGAGGAGAGGAAGGTGGGAGGAGGACAAGGTGGGAGGGTGGCGGCTCACTCAGGACCCGGCGGGGGCAGCGCGATGAGGCGGGTGACCCTGTTCCTTAACGGCAGCCCCAAGAATGGAAAGGTAAGCGGGTCTGGAGGAGGCGCGGCGGGCCCGCTGTGGGGGCGAGGGCGGCCGAGCCCTGGCCGGGGGCAGGGCACGGGGCTGAAGTTGGGCAGAGGGGCTGGAAGGTGGGAGGTTGGCGTGCGCCGGGGCGGGGGGCGCCGAGGAGGGCAGCGCCGGGTCCCCACGGCCGCTTCCGAGTCCCCGGGGCTTCTCTGCCCGAGCCTGCCCTGCAGCTCCTCGGCTGCCCTGGGCACCCGAGCCCGGGGTGTGGGTCCGAGAGGGTCGGGAGGGCGGGGGAGGGCCGCTGTCCCCCGAGCGCTCGGGCTGAGGGTCCTCTTCCCACCCCAAGACCCCGCGCCCCTTCCCCTGGCCGCAGACGGCGCCTCCGGCCCCCTTGGTGCTGAGTAATGGTTTGCTCGGGAAAGTGGTCCTGGTAACTCAGCCGCGTACGGCTGAGCAGGTAAAAGCAGTAAACTACCAGTGGATAAGTCACAGAGTCGTCCATCTCAGGTCGGATGGAGACTCTTTCAACTGAGACGTTTTCTTGATGATTTTCCTCCCTCTCTTTTAGGTGCCCCAATCCCCCAAGCCCCGCCGCTGCCAAACTTCTGTGCTCCTTTTATTATTTCGCCTTATTTTGGTTCCTTAGAGGACTGTGACAACAGAGCAAAATGGATTGACTTGACAGTAGCCTTTGCTGTGTTAGGCCTTTATTGAGGGTGTGGTGCTGAATATTGTTCCAGCGCTGGAGCAAGCCAAAATGAATCCTGTGCCTTCTCAGCCTCTTGCCCCACCCATGAAAGTTGTTCGGCTGCTTTGGAAAATTTTCACTGTGAAAGGCAGACATTTATTGTGTGGCTAAATGATACTCAGAAGCGCCTAAGCCTTTAGAGTCTAGATTGGCCTCATTGTAATATTTGCCACGGTATTCTGCTTGCTGCACATTCTGGAAAAGTTGTGAGTTTTTTTAAATACCAAAATTATCCGAGGGCATAAAAATGGTTTTCCAGCTACTCTGCAGTTTTGAGTAAACATGCTCTGAAAATTTGAACCACAGTGTTGATTGTTGGCTGTAATTCTGTGTTCTGGTCTTAGAGATTTAATACACAAAAGCAGAATTTGCATAATTTCAAGTTGTTGCATTTTCATGAGTACTACCTTAAACATATGCTTCACAAAGTTTATATTATTTCTGACCATTATTAATTTTTAATCTTTTTGAATTATCTAATCTTCATAATCTAAAAGTTATGTTGTTACTGGAAGAAAGAGTTAGTATGTCCAAAGTTACAGCCATAAAATGTTCTCCAAAACCTCTGATTGACCTTTTTATCTAACATCTTTGCTGAGTTATTACGTGAAAGACAAAGTGTTTGGAACTAGTCGTCAATATTTAACTGTGTTCCAAATCCCTGAATCCACTGAATTTTGTCATTAGGAACTGGCTGAGTTGGTCTTTCCATATTATTGTGAATATATATTTTTTAAAAATCTGCCTTAAAAAATTTGTCTTTTAAAAAGCTATCCTAGTTTTAACTAGGATAGATTTTTGGTTTTAAATTTTATTTTAAAAATATTTTGCTATAGAGTCTCAGAAAATTGGGAAAAGATTTTAAATAATTAAAAATAGACATTTTGTTGCAGAGATCATAAAAATCCAACTGGAGAATAGTAGTGTGCTTTAATATTTAAAAGAAACAATGCCATAGTCCTTACTACTTGATTCAGGAACATATTCTAAATCAGATTTGTGTTTTCTCTCAGTTGATTAAGAAGCAGTATTACATTTACTCTTACTTGCCAAAATTAGAGTACAAGTAATACATATCAGCTCGCATTTTTATTTATAAAAAATAGCCATATTTAGTCACGGACAAGAATGTTCACGTTTAGAACATACTGAAACAGAGGGCTACTTCAAAATAATTTGATTTCGCATCCACTAATTGGAATATGTGGGGTACTTACATTGTCTCCTTATTTACCGTAGTTTCTGTTTTTGCTTCCTGGTCAAATAAATTTTCCTCTCGTAGTTTGCTTAATAGTTGCCACACTCTGGGAGCGGGGAATCAGAGTTCTTTAAATCATATGCTCACGATGAATAAAGTGTACTTGCTGAATGTTTTTGATGTTGAAGAGAGGGCCATGCATTCTCTAAAACACTAGTTTTCCAAGAGACAGCATACCACAGGAGTGCAAGATGATCCATTAGAGTTGAGAAAGAAACATTATACCTTTATCCATATTTTTTACTTGAAAATGTTAAATATGAAAACTTAGTTTTTCTAATCTGGAGACAGAAGGCTTCAGCCACTAAACATGTCAGCCACTGTTTGTGAGAGAAGGGAGGGCCTTCACTTGTGAAAAGGTTCATAGTGAGTGGCCTCTTCACTGATTGGTTCATTTTGACATATTGTATTTAGAAGCTTATCATTAAGATTTTTATCATCCAGCTTTAACTAACTTAACCTTCACAAAAGTTCTGAGTGACTTTAAAAGAGTCCTTCAAAGAGAGTGCTGATTGAAGACAACAGTAATTCTCCCATCAAAAGTAAACAACAGCAAAATGGCAGAGCTACAGCTTCTACTAGGATGAACTATGAGATTAAAAAAAATCTTCTTGGATCTCAGAAGTGTGAAAGTGCCAAGTTGTAAAGAAGACTATTTAAAGTTATATTTAATAATTTCTGTTAGCCATTGACCTTTCCTTAAGTGTACAATGTTCTTTGAAGCAGTATCCAGTGATAGGATGAAGTTGTCCTAATTAGCAAGACATTTCAAAATATGTTACAACTGATAAAGAAAAATGACTTCAAATTTCTTTTTCTTGTTTCAACTTTTAAAAATGTTTAAAGTCAAGCTTATAGGAGTATTTCACAGAATCTCACCAAATTTAATGTTAAATATTTAGGGGATTCTCACTGGCCCATTCATAGTCCAAGTCTGTAAAAGCCCTCAAAATCAGCTGGGAAAACTTGGTTCTTTCCAACAGTGGCATATAGTTTTTAAATAAATATAGAAGTATTTGAACACATGCCTAAAAGTATTTTACAGATGGGATGGGTAGTCAAAAACATTTGAAGACTATAGTTGTACATTGAAATATTTTAATTTAAATTGTGTGTGTGTATTCTAATTATTCCGAATGAGTCAGTTGTGTGTATACTTTTCATCCCTTCTGTATATGGTTCACAATTCCCATTGTTCTTTTTTAAATATTCCCTGTAAGGGTTGGAATTAAGGAAACCTAAATAAAGACTAGGACATCTGAATGTTAGCGCAACTTCTGAGCTACCTGATGTCATTGTAAACTTTCTGTACATCTTGCACACAAATTGCTTTTTTAAACTTCAGATTACTCAAAAAGGAGCTGTACAAGTCGTAGATCTTTTAGGTCTTGCTCATTTATTCAACTAATATTTATCAAGCACCTTCTGAGTGTCAGGCACTATGCCAAATGTTTCAGACAAAGGAGGATAGGAAACATACTTGTTCTGTACTAATGATTGTCTTCTTGATCCATGAAATAACTTTTTTTCTAGCTTTGATAATTAGGTCAGAAATTGGTTGTGGGTATGAGGTATCCAGATTTGAACCCATTGCATTAAAGCAGTGGAGATTAAAACTTTACCGTTATATGTAAGTAATATAGGTTGATTGTATCAAATTTGGAAAACAATAAATTGAAAATAGTAAGTCAACCAGAACTTCATTATTCAAAGATGGCCGTTTGGAATAGGTTTTCAACTTTATATTAGTGAGACTCAGATATAACCAACTCTCACAAAACTGGTGTGGTCTACTTCAGATTCTGAAAGAAATGTAAATGTCATTCATAATTCCAGAAATAGTTGTTAAGGCCCTACTAGAAGCTAGATATTGTAACACAGAACCAAGTGTATCCTCCCATTGAAACTGGTAGCAGTTACTGTCTTGATTCAAAGTTTAGGGTAGTGGTGGGCTATGTACTTGAGCCTCATTAATCAACTTTACCAAGGGATAGTTGGTTATCTGTATTCCCAGAATTAATAACTTTTTACAAGTTAGAACTTTTTCATTGAACTTTTGGAGTTCAGGTAGGAAATCAGAAAATAATTGGTGAAATGATAATTGTGGTTGATATGTGTTAGGACTGATTTAAGTGACAATAAAAGGAACTCAGTTTATCTTGGCTGTGCTCCTTTGAAGCAGCCTACAAGGACACACCTATCATACTTTGATTGCTTTAAAAATAGTCCTTGCCAAAAAGTATCTGTAGAGTTATTCTATCATATGGTAAAACCTGACTTCAATGGGGAAGAAATGGAAGATGGCAACAACCTAATTATATAAAACACTTGATGGTTTGAATTGGACTCTTATCACTTTGTTACTGTGTTATTTCACGCGAAAGCATAAAAGAATTAAAATGTGTCTGTTCTTTGTATTTTGCTCTTTAGAACAGTGTTGTCCAATAGAACTTCTGTAATGATGGAAATATTTCACATCTGTACTGCTTAATATGGTAACCACTAGCCAATGTGGGATTGAACATTTGAAATATGGCCAATATAACTAATAAGTGCATTTTAACTTTTAATAAAATTTAAGCAGCTTCATGTAGCTAATGACATTCATGTTGGACAGTACAGTTTTAGAACATTGTCGTGGCCAGCATTTTCATTAGAAAACCAACCCATAGGAAAAACAAAGTAAATCTTATGGAAGTAGACGACAGTTTAATTTGATATACTTAAAAAAAAAAAACATAAAATCTTAAGCCATAATGTTTAAATATGGGAGCATATGTACATCAGCCTTGCATCAATTACATGGTAAGACCAGTAGATTTGAAAGAAACGCTGAGGGAGAAAGTTGTTAGGGCAAGGAGGGGATTATGTCAGGCGAAAGAAAACCAGTTAGAGGTAAACCAGAAACAGAGGTAAGGAAAAGGAGAACAATTTAGAAAGTTTTCAGTGTAATAGCAACTATAACAAGAACATTGACATTGGATAGGAAGAACTTCTTACCTCCCTTCCTAGCACTTTTCCCACTAGAAGTTTTGCATCTGCTGTGGGAATGTCTTCCTCCTTTGCATTTGTGCAGCTTCTCTCTGTTTACTCTTCATGGCTTTTTCCGTAGCACAACCAGATTGGCTGTAATAACACCTTGTTGTATTCTCCGTACTCCCAGGAATGTATATTCACAGTAACGGAGTTCCAGGCTCTTTCACATACATGAAAAATGATGGGAGACACATGGGACGTTTTTATTCAGGTTTCATTTATTTCTGGCATGCCTGCTGTGTGCAAGACACTATGCCAATTGCTTTGCATTTTTTTCATGGTAAAATAATAAAATTTACCATTTTAATCATTTTAAGTGTATAATTTATTTTTTATTTTTTGAAAGATTTATTTATTTGAAAGAGTTACAGAGAGAGGTAGAGACAGAGAGGTCTTCCATCCACTGCTTCACTCCCCAAATGGCCACAATGGCAAGAGCTGGGCTGACCTAAAGCCAGGGGCCAGGAGCTGCTTCCGGGTCTCCCACATGGGTGCCGGGCCCCAAGGACTTGGGCCATCATCCGCTGTTTTCCCAGGCGCATTAGCAGGGAGCTGGATCGGAAGTGCAGCAGCTGGGATTCGAACCAGCACCCATATGGAATACTGGCTCTCTACTGCACCACAGTGCCAGCCCCACATAAAATTTATTCACAATTTGTGTAACCATCACCACTGTTTACTTCCGGAATTTGCCACCATCCCAAGCAGAAACTACTCATTAAGCAGTAATTATCCATTCCTATCTTCACCCTGATATTCTCCTTTCTGTCCTTATGTATTTATCTATTTTAGATACCTTCATGTAAGTGGAATTATTTGTGTCTGGTTTGTTTCACTTAGCATGTTTTCAGTATGCATCCATGTTGTGGCATGGGTCAGAATTTCTTTTGTATTTATTTTTATTTTATTTATTTGAAAGGTAGAGACATACAGAGATTTCTGAACCACTGGTTCACTCCCCCAGATGTCTGCAGTAGCTCAGCCTGGGCCAGGTTGAAGCTGGGAGCCAGGAACTCAATCTAGGTCTCCCACATGGGTAGCAAGAACCCAATAACTTGAACCATCACCTGCTGCCTCCCAGGGTGCACATTGGCAGGAAACTGGAATTGAGAACAGAGCTGAGACCTAAATCCAGACACTCTGATAAGGGATGCAGGTATCCCAAGTCATGTCTTAACTGCTAGGCAAATCCCCGTCCCTCATTTTCTTTATTGGCAAGTAATAAAGTAATATTTGATTGTGTGTATAGATCACATTTTATCTGGTTTTCTGTTTATGAACACTTCTGTTGTGCTTTATTTTTTATAGTCCACCTAGCTCCCTTTAAATTATATTTGCCTTCAACTCTCCTTCAAGATGCCCCAACTTGCAAAGAGAGTGGAACCAATCCCGTTAGGGTGCTTGGGGTGGGGCCTTTGGTAGGTGATTGGATTGGATTGGATCATTAAGTTGGAGTCCCATGATCAAAACCTGGTGGCTTTATAAATAGAGACCACATAAACAGAGTGGCACACACTCCTGTCTATTGCCACGTGGCACTCTGTGCCACCTTGCAACTCTGCCACCTGCAAAGCCATCATGAGATAAGGCATCTAGAACTGTGAGTTAAAATAAAGCTTTTTCCATTTAAAGTTGATCTGCCTCATGTATTTCATCATAGTCATGACAAACACATCCTGTCACTGATGGACAGAGGACTAGCTGTCCTCACTCGTATGGCATCTGTACATAATGTTCTTGGGAAGTCAGCTGTTCATGTGTGGTGTGCAGCTGCTTACCTACGTTTTGTTCATAACTTTCAGAGGTCCTACCTGATTATGGGACAAGAGTACACCTCAACCACTGGGAATGCTTGGTTAACAATGTCTCAAGCACAAAATTCACTTACATACAGATGTTCATGTCTTGCTTAAGCAGTTGCGTATACCTTTTACATAATCTAGATTGTGTCTGACTCAAGCAGGGCAGATCAATTCATTGTCACCCAGTTGTTTGCTGTATTCAGAATGTTAGATGCTAAATTCCGGCTTTTAGAAAACAATAGAAGTAGTATATTGTAAATAAATGAAGTGGAAAGTTGATATCTTTTTATGATAGTTGGTGTAGTAAATTATAATAACACTAAATCATTCCTATCCCCAAAACGAATGCTTTCTGTAACAAAGGAATGATATAAGCATGACATAAACGAGTTTGTATGGCCTTAGTCACAGACACAAAGGTCTCAGGTACTTTCCTAAGCTTTCTTCATGCTTTAACGCATTTCATCCTCTTAATAGCCTTCTGCGGTAGATGATGCTGTTCTCTTTTTCTAGTTAAAGCAAGAGAAGCATAAAGAGTTGTTTGTCTCAGGTTGACAGCTAAAAAATTCAGCTGTCAGAATTGAGATTCCTGGGCAGGCCTGTCTGTCTGCAGAACAGGAATACTATTTAGCCTATCTTAAGATTGTATATTGTCGTCAGATATGATTTCCTATTCTCTAGTTTTAGATTTTTGCAATATTAGTCACTAAGTAAACATGTAAATCCTAGAAGAAAAAGGAACACTGTTAAGACTCTTAAAATCCCGTTTATAGAATAAAGTAATTTTTAGCCCTGTTTATAGTGTGATGGTTTATACATTATACTAATACATTATATAAGTTCAAATTAATCTGATGTGTTTACAGGTGGTTGCTGTATATGGAACTTTGTCTGATTTGCTTTCTGTGGCCAGCAGTAAACTCGGCATAAAAGCCACCAGTGTGTATAATGGGAAAGGTGGACTGATCGATGATATTGCTTTGATCAGGTAACCTTCGCCTTTTTATAAGCTGTCCACAGTGTACCCTCAGCTCCTTGGTGTTATGTTGTTTCCTTTAAACAGTAGTTTAATCACTATTAAGAAAACTGGATCTTGGCAAGTTATTGTCTAAATTTTATCTGTGGAATCTAAATACTTTTAAGTTAGGGTATATGGATAAAATAGAAAACCCTTAGTAATTCCAGTATCCTAGTAGTTTTTCTGCTTAGTTCATACATGGCTAAGAAGAATTTCTTTTTTGTAGCACTAGAAGACAGATCTGAACTTTTTAACATTTAAAGTCTAATTGACCGCTTGTATTTTTAACTGTTTCTTGTTAAATGCATTTCCTAGGGGTGCTTTGAATTTTATAACCATTATAGAGACCTAATGCAATAGAATTACGAGATACCACCAGTGATTCACCACAATGGCAGTTTGTTTTTGTTTTTTAAATATCCCAGGTAGATTTATCTCTTTAACATAACGGTGTAGTTTTCCTCACTTCAGCCTCACAGGGTCAGAGAGTTTTGAAGCAGGGAGTGACTTAAAGAAGACAACAATGGAAACACAAATTAAGTGCTAACTGCATCATTTATGTTGTCATTGCTTTGCTGAGTTATTTAATTGGCAAAGCATGGGATTTTTAAATTGATGGTGTGAAGATAATGATGCTCTAAATTACAGTTGTATTCAAAATTTCATCTCCATTTGATTCCAGGTCAGAATGACCTTTCCATATAGTATACTGCACTTGAAGTTAATCAGTTCTACTTCCTGCGTTTTACAAACAAGGACACTAGCATTTGAGAAGTGATGCCCCAGTCATACAGCTTAGTAATTGATTTTTGTTAATAAAAAGAAAAAGTTTAGTAGTACTCTAAAACAACTGGCATAGTGAACAGGTAGAAAATATTGTAAGCTGCATTTCAAATCCAAATAAATTAGGAGAATTTCTTAGTTCACCAACATTTATCTTCCAGCTTCTTTCAGTTCCTGTGAGTAATTGCTAACATCATTGAATTGTCTACATCAACCTAATTTTCTACTAAGAAAGCAGATTTTGCTTTTAAGGAAAACTCAATGTGTTCCTATGATGTCATATAGGAAATAAAAACTCCTACAACATACAAAGTCATAACTGAAAACTTATGAGCTTTAAAATGTCTACCTGCTTGATAGTTTCTGGTTCACAGTAGCTTCCCACTAATGGTGGGAAGGATTGGGGTCGGGGAAAAGGATATACTAATAATCCAGAATTGATAAGTTATGTGCAGTTACTTAGATTTGGTATGCAGTGGGTGTGTAGTGAATGAGCAGATTTGTAACAGAGTTACTTCACATTTTTTTCCCCTGCATTTAATATGAAATTTTATTTTTACTTCCAAAGCACACAAAAGCTAATGATTTGGGAGAGAACCACAATAATTTATTTAGGGAAAAAATGTTTAAATATAATCTTTAAAGAAAAACAGGAAAGTTAGCTCTGGCTTTAGTTATATCCTTTGAATGTAATACTTGCACCACTCAAGTTCTTCAATAAATAAGAAGGACAAATTAGCATAATTTGTATAGTGGGGTTTTTTTATGTCAAAATACTTTGATATGCAAGATCTTATTTGAATTTTAATCAGAGTTAATCAAAGCACTGGAAACTTAGCTTCCTTGTAGTACAGATTGATAGCAAAGCCTATCTTCTTTATAATTTTAAGGAATAGTTCCTGAGGTCAACAAATAACTAATGTGATTTCTAGATTTTGATGGTGGCTTTTTAAATCTTGATCTCCCCAGGGATGATGATGTTTTGTTTGTGTGTGAAGGAGAGCCATTTATTGGTAAGTGACTTCCTGAAAAGCCAATGTTATCTGCCAAAGTAAAAAAGAAATGGCAAAGATTTACATGGACTTATGAAGCTTAACATTTAAAATGCTCTTGTGGCTGTATTCAGATCTTTATACTCGCTGATTCTACATTGGGTTTGTGTGTTACAGTGCATTTTAAATTTAAAATTTAAAATATCATATTTTACTGTGGATACTTCCTCTTGTACATGCTTTTAAGAAGCTCTGGTTGAGTATATATTCCATATCTATGACATGATAGGGTAATTTTGATTTTAGAAACTATAACTGTTTTGAAGTTTTCTCTTTCATAGTAATTTTCAAAACTTCTAAGAATGGTATCACATATTTGTAAGTATTTATTATTTACCCAAATAGTGTTTGATAATCCTTTATAGTGTTCAAAATAAATCAGATTACTCCAGAATAGACTTAGCATCAACCACACCAGCAGGCAAACACACATACTACTATTTGACTTGGGAAATATCTTTAACAGTTGTGTATCTCCAAAATAAAAGCCTAAAGCTTAAATAAGGCAATTTTTTAAAAATGAGGGCTTGGTTTATTTAGTTTCATACAATCACACCTTCAATACTTGCTTAGATTTTTTTAAAGCATCCCAGTAATTGAATTTAGTGAATAGAGGTAGTTTTCAGAATCTTTGTTCATGTACATGCCAACTTAGGCAAAGTGCATGTTATTTCTTTCTCTTACCTAAACTGTGAGCAAAACCTTTTTCTTACCTTTTTTTATGCATCTCCCTAATAGTAGACAGTGGTCATGTAATTGGTTCATTACACACATACAAACTACAAAATAAAAATTATTTATTAAAATAATAAGGGGTTTTTATTTGTGTTTATGAACTCCTAGATTTAGAGATTTTGGTATGGTTTAATCCTCTACATTTATGGATTCTCAGATTGTCTCTTTGTTTTAGCCAACAGAAACCAATTGCTTTAAGTCCTTTAAACACACCACCTTAGTGTTTTATAGTTTCTTTTTTTTTTTAAAGATTTATTTTATTTATTTGAAAGAGAGAGTTACAAGTTACAGAGAGAGGTAGAGAGAAAGAGAGAGCTCTTCCATCCGCTGGTTCACTCCCCAGATGGCCGCCACGGTTGGAGCTGTGCAATCCAAAGCCAGGAGCCAGGAGCCAGGAGCTCCCTCCTGGTCTCCCACATGGGTGCAGGGACCCAAGGACTTGGGCCATCCTCCACTGCTATCTCAGGCCATAGCAGAGAGCTGGACTGGAAGAGGAGCAGCCAGGAACAGAACCGGTGCTCATATGGGATGCCGGCTCTTCAGGCCAGGACATTAACCCACTATGCTGTAGCATAGCCGGCCCCATATAGTTTCTTTATTATCTGGAATAACAAGGTTTTCATCTTAGCATTTTCCTGTATCAGGTCTAGATCAATATTTTTTACTAAAAGACTTGATTTCTTTAGTGTGGTCACAATCATTGCAAGACACAGGTGGGTGCTGGGTAGGCTCTTTGCCATTGGGTTCATAATTGTTACAGGACCCATCTAGTGACAGAAGTGGAAATATATAGCTAGCTAGAGATAAAATTGATTTATAATATAGTGTAGGCTATATGTAACATAAAATCTAGTTAGATAAAATATCTCATAGACTCATACTAATGCTTTTAGTTTATATTCAGTATTATAGGGTTTTTATTTAACTTATATCTAGTATCTGTGTCTCCTTCCTGCCATATCAGTAATCCTGATTTTGTGAGGGCAGGGAGAATGATAGAATTATAAGTACTCATTTACTTCATCTCACACAAAATAAAAAATAAAAGTGTGAGAGTAACAATCCCAACATTTTCAATCGCAATATAATTAATAAATACAGTTAAATTTTTTTGCCTATGTTCATTTCTCTTAAAAAAATCATCATATTGTTTCTACTGTATCAGAATAATAAACATTACATACTATACTCTTACCCTTAAAATCCTCATATATTTTTACTTTTTTAAGTATACAAGGGGTCTTTACAAAGTTCATGAAAAATGCACATCTATATTTTAATTTCATGTTCCACAAACTTTTTGAAGTGTTATATTTAATGCTTATCTCTTGTTATCTGTCTAAAACGTTTTTGATAGATTACTGCACGGTATAGCAGTGAGTGGCTTCTGTGGGATCATATCCAAGTTTAGCAAATTATAAACTTTAAATGTGTGTACTTTATTGTCTGTTAGTTATCCTAAGTGAAATCACTGAAAAACTCATCCCATTTTCTGTTTTTTTGAGTATCTTAAATATGAGACTATTCCAAAAAGTTCATAGAGAAATAAAATTAAAAGATACTTATTTCAGTCCAGTTTTGAAATTTTTACATATTTTTTTCATTTTATGCATTTTCCATGATTTTTTTTAACAGGCAGAGTTAGACAGAGAGAGAGAGAGAGAGAGAAAGGTCTTCCTTTCTCCGTTGGTTTACCCCCCCAAGTGGCCACCACGGCCGGTGCGTTGCAGCCAGCACACTGCACCGATCCAAAGCCAGGAGCCAGGTGCTTCCTCCTGGTCTCCCATGTGAGTGCAGGGCTCAAGGACCTGGGCCATCCTCCACTGCACTCCCGGGCCACAGCAGAGAGCTGGACTGGAAGAGGAGCAACCGGGACAGAATCCAGTGCCCCAACCAGGACTAGAACCCCGGGGTGCCGGCGCCGCAGGCAGAGGACTAGCCCAGTGAGCTGTGGCGCCAGCCTCCATGAAGGTTTTAACGTCTCCTTGTATATTACTGTTTTTTTATTCTGGCATGAAGTGTAGGCATCAAAAAATACGATTTTTTTTTAATTTTACTTATTTGAGAGGTAGAGTTACAGACAGAGAAGAGAGAGAGAGAGAAAGGTCTTCCATCCGCTAGTTCATTCCCCAGATGGCCGCAATGGCCAGAGCTGAGCCGATCTGAAGCCAGGAGCCACAAGCATCTTCCAGGTCTCCCATGTGGGTGCAGGCCCAAGCACTTGGGCCATCTTCAACTGCTTTCCCAGGCCATAGCAGAGCTGGATTGGGAGAGGAGCAACTGGAACTAGAACCAGCGCCCATATGAGATTCTGGCACTGTAGGTGGAGGCCTAGCCCACTGCGCTACAGCGCTGGCTCCATGATCTTTCTTAAATGACTGTTTTGCTTGGATCACCTAACGTTTTATCTCTTTCTTCAAAGTATAATGGTTTTAATAGAATATTTCTTCTTTTGGGTTGATTTTCTCTGATATATGGTGGGTTCTTTAATATATGGTGTTTCAATATGTATTTTTTAATTTCAATAATGTTTTCTTGAACTTAACATATTTATTTTGTCTCATTATTTTGTTTTTCTTGTTTCAGGATGTCCATTGTGGGCATATTGGATCTTCTACATTTGAAACCTTCTATTTCATTCTTTTCATCCTTTCCTCATTTCTTTTAGATTTTTTAAAACTTTTCTCTTTTTTCATTTTGTTTTTCTTTGTTCCATTCTCTTTTTTCTTAATCACTAGTCTTCATTATTGAATGTCTTCTCTTTTGTTTCTAATTCTGTCCTGAGTTCTCTCGCCTCATTTCTGAATTTTATAATTCTGATTTATACTGGTCTTTCATATTTTGCATTATTTACTTTTTTAGCATATTTTAGGATTCTAAATTATAGGTATCTATTTTGTATTTGTTTCTAAGAAGATTTTCATTGTTTCTAGGGATATAATTCTTCTTAGTATTTCTTATGCTGTAAAACCTTTTATATGTGACTTGACCTCAGTGCCTTCCTGTTTTTCAGTTGTACATGAAATTAATTTTCCTTGGCTTGAGAAGGAAAGATTTATTTGGGGATATTTTTTGTTTTCTGTGAAGTATTTAAAAATATAGGACTTACTTTATGTTATATTTTGGCCTCGTAAACCTTCTTTCATCTGGACTCTTTGGACTTTATTCTATTCAACTTATATTCTTTTCCTAGCATCTTGTCATCAGAATGGAACTTTGTCTTTTGAAAGGAGTTTTGTGGTTGGTTTTGAAAATTCATTTCCATCTCCTTTAGATCTTATTTAAACTAGTTACATCATCCATTTTGGATATAGGCATGTACCTTCCACTTTCAGCCTGCTGTTCTCAAATAGACATGTTGAACTGTGAAGTTAGTATGTATGGATTGCTTTTGAGTTCTCAGATTCATCACATACTCTATTGTTTCTATGCTTTTTCCTTCACAAACACTGATAGTGTGCTGTTCTTAAAGCTGTCAGTATTGGTGGGAATACTATGGATTTGAGTTTTTGCTCTCCAGTAGCTCTGGTACACTTTGATGTGCGAATTTAGTTTCAACAATGATGCCATTGCCATCTTTGCAGAATTCCAAATCTTAATGTGTTTACTATTTTCTACATGTTGTCTCTAGATCCTCAGACCGATTGTAAACCAGCTGAAGGATGGTTAGGATCCCACACAGACTGGCTAACATTAAATGTTGGAGGGCGGTACTTTACAACTACACGGTAGGTGCATGTATGTGTGTGTGTGTGAGAAAGAGTGTGTGTGTGTCTTACAGAGTCAGTAAAAGGAGTACTGTGCGTGTCCATTTGTTCTGTCTTGCAATTTGCTGATTTCTTTAAAAGATACTCAGATGCAGCTTAAGTGTAACATGTTATCTGAAGCCATTTTTAGAAAGTTTTTTGAAGAAAAGAATAGGACCTAGTTTACAGATCATTCCTGAGAAAGCATGAAGACCTGAATTTTATGTTTCAGAACATGCTTTTCAGATAGTGAATAATATATATGTATATATACACACGCAATGTAAATAAAAACTAAGAATCCTGAAATTTGTAGAAATTACAACTGTTCACATTAAAGAAATTTTAAAAAGTAAGTTTAGACAATCTAGAATATTGTGATGTACTAGCATACTAGAAGAACAGATTAGTAGTTAAAATAAAAGAAACTAAAATAATATTTAAGTCAAAGGAAGTACCAGATTGGAAAGGATCTTGATAAATGGCCTCTTACTGCACGTTTTTGTTTCCTAGCATCACTCCTACCAGGTGATAGCATGCATCTTGTTGAGAGAGCAGCTGAATTCGAGTATGCTCTTGAGTTAAATGTGTTTGTTTATAAAGACAAATGGAGAAATCAATTTTTTTCCCTGAATTCTTAGGAGCACTTTAGTGAATAAAGAACCTGACAGTATGCTGGCCCACATGTTCAAGGATAAAGGTGAGTGTAAGTCACTGTTTTCACATTTTATGTGGTCTGTTTGTACCCGTATTCATGACCTTTTGTACTTTTCAGTGATATCAATAATCTTTACAAGAGTAAAACTTGTTGGTATGTCATATAATTTATCTTCTATAAATTTCTAACTATATTTTTTGTTTGTGGGGGGCTTTCTTCATTATAATGGAAACACAGGTGTCTGGGGAAATAAGCAAGATCATAGAGGAGCTTTCTTAATTGACCGAAGTCCTGAGTACTTTGAACCTATTTTGAACTACTTGCGTCATGGGCAGCTCATTGTAAATGATGGTATTAATTTATTGGGTGAGTTTTCAATATAATTCACATTTTTATAAGTTTAAGGTTTTTATTTTATCTTCACTTAGAAATGTTTATTTTCACAGAGTGAAAGTATATCCTTTCCATTTTTAAAATTAACTTTTTCACATATATATGAGTATATACAGGTTTAGAAAGATATTAGCACAAGTATATATTGTCTTTAGAGAATATATATATATGTGTGTGTGTGTATAGTATCTATCTATGCATGTATTTGTGTGAGTATATATCTAACTCACAAGTTTTAATTTTAGATTTTATCACAAGGGGCTTTAGAATTTTTTTTAAGACTTGAATTGTGAATATGGGGTAACTTCCAGTTATGGGCCTTTCTATTATGTTCAGAAGCATAGCAGTCAAGAGAGAAAGCCAAACTTTGGAATTAGAGTCTGGGTTCTACAACTTACTAGAATATTGACTTGGTGAAATTGTTTCTAAGTCTTTTTTGAAAAATTAGTGTTAAAAATTTTCTGCGGACCAGTATTGTGGTGCAGTTGGTTAAACCACTGCTTGAGACCCAGCACCCCACATTGGAGTGCCAGTTCAAGTCCTGGCTATTCTGTTTCCAATCCAGCTCTCTGCTAATGCATTTGGGAAGGCATTTTGGGCAAGGACTTGGGTCCCTGCCACCCATGTAGAAGGCCAGGATGGAGTTTTGGGCTTTTCTGCCCAGCCCAGACCTGGCTAATGTGATCATTTGGGGAGTGAACCAGCGTATAGAAGTTCTTTCTTTGTCACTATGCCTTTCAAATACATGAATCCTTAAAAAATAAATAAATAAATAAAAATTCTGTCTTCTCTGCCTATGTCACAGACTTTTATGAGGACTTATGGAAAGACGTAGGCAAAAGCCCTTATAAAACAGTAGTTGCATATTAAAACTTACAGGCCTCCAAGGGTCTGGACTTGGTCTTATGTTAGTACTTGCAGTAGGGTGGAGAATGTGGCAGTCTTTAGGTAATATGCCTACTCAGCCTCTGCAACTTGTTGGCACATGAAAATGTAGACTTAGAGTGCCAGAGTGTTGATTTTAAAATAAAAGCTGGTTATCTATATAAAGTTTTCTGATTTTCAAAATACTGTTGCATGTTTTTGTTGCACATGTTGAGTACATCAGAATCAGCTGACTGCTAGCTTACAGTTTCTGTAATGAAATTAAAATACCCAGTCAACCTTTACATGTTCGAATATTAAACTGTGGATTCTTTTTTAAATGTTTGATTGAAATAAATGATATTATTTGACCTTTTCAGGCAGCTCTATAACTTTTCCTAACCAAATTATTTTTTCTTTATTTTTAAAAATTTTATTTACTTATTTATTTAAAAGGCAGAGAGAGAAACAGAAGCAGAAAGAAATCTTCCATCTAGTGGTTCACACCCATAATGCCCCCAATAGGAGTTCTAGGAGCCTAAAACTCAATCCCAGTCTTTCATGGAGGTAGCAGGGACCCAAGTACTTGAACCATCACCTGATATCTCCCAGGATGAGCATTATCCAGAAGCTGGGTCCAAAGCAAGGTACCCAAGACTTAAACCAGGCACTCTGAAATGGGAAAGTGGGCATCTCAACAGTACCTTAACTGCTGTACAAACACCTACCCTTTTTTCTTTAAAAAAATTTTTGCTACTGTTGCTTGAAATCTTTTATAGCCTGTTTTGTTATTTCAGTTTTTCTTCAGATATTATTATAAAAATAGTCTGATCTACTCTTGTTGTAATCTTTTTCTTTTTAGCACCTCTATGGCTCTGAGCACTTCTTTCTTCCTTCCTTCCTTCCTTCCTTCCTTCCTTCCTTCCTTCCTTCCTTCCTTCCTTCCTTCCCTCCCTCCCTTCCTTCCTTCCTGTCTTCCTTTCTTTCTGTCTTTCTGTCTTGATTTTATTTATTTGAGAGTAAACTTAACAGACAGTGAGAGGGAGAGACAGACAGGTCTTGCATCTGCTGGTTCACTCCCCAAATGGTCGCAATGGCCAGAGGGGCGCTGATCTGAAGCCAGGAGCCAGGTGCTTCTTCCAAGTCTCCCATACGGGTGCAGGGACCCAAGGACTTGAGCCATCTTATACTGCTTTCTCAGGCCATAGCAGAGAGCTGGATCTGAAGAGGAGCAGCTGGGACTAGAACTGGTGCCCGTATGTGATGCCAGCACCACAGGCAGAGGATTAATCTGTGCCACAGTAGTGGCCCTGCACAACTTCACTTTTATATGTCTTATAGGCGGCTTTATTCCACTCATTTTAATTCTCCCTTGTATTATGGATAGCATTTGTGTCCTCCAGGTCTAGAAAATAGCATCAGAAATCAATATCTCTGCTGTCTTAAACTTCATAACCTAAGCTATTACCAAGATCTCTTATTTTCCCTTTTGTATGCTTCTCAGGCATTTATTTTATTTTATTTAAGATTTATTTATTTATTTGATAGCCAGAATACACAGAGAGGAAAGGAAGAGAGAGAGAGAGAGGTCTTCCATCTGCTGGCTGCAATGGCCGGAGCTGTGCCGATCTGAAGCCAGGAGCCAGGAGCTTCTTCCGGGTCTTCCACACGGGTGCAGGGGACCAAGGACTTGGGCCATCTTCTACTGCTTTCCCAGGCCATAGCAGAGATCTGGATTGGAAGAGGAGCAGCTGGATGTTGAACCAGTGCCCATATGGGATGCCAGCGCTTCAGGCCATGGTGTTAACCTACTGTGCCACAGCACCGGCCCTGCCATGTCTGTTATATATTCAGTTATTCAGCAAGCAGAGTGAGCTTTCCACAGGATTCAATATATAAAGTGTTATTTTTAATTAATAGAATTTTCATCCAAACTCTGCTTTGCCTACAGGTTATCCCAAGTAATTATGTGCTTTAAAATAATCTACAATAATTTCTCTAAGACCAAAAAGAATGGAAAATCTGAGATTTAGGTCTCATTAGTACAATAGGAAGTACACTAAATAATACTTCTTTTCGTGAACTATCCTCTGTGTATTTTTTGTTTTGTTTTTTGTTTTTGTACTTTAAAATTTTCTAGAAGGTTTTAAAAAGGCTTAATTCTACATCTAGGATTATAAAAACATTTTTACCACATTCCAAAGAGATTCCACTTTATTTAGAAGAACTTGGGAAATTGAGAACAAGGCCCCCTAGAACTTTTTTTTTTTTTAGTGTATGAGAGAAAGGGACGGAGATAGCACATGTGCTCTCATCTGTTGTTTCACTACCCAAACGTTGATCATGGGTGTGACTGAGCTGAAGCCAGGGATTCAGTCTAGATCTCCCACATGAGTGCTAGGAACCCAACTATTTGAGACATCACTGGCTGCCTCCAAGGGTCTGCATTGGCAGGAAGCTGGAGTTGGGGGCTAGAGCTGAGGATTGAACCCAGGCAGTCATGTGTGGTGTGGGTTTCTTAACTGATTGGCCAAATGCCTGCCTCTAGAACTTGTTTTACCAGATACAGATGTCTTAGTGTTGTTGCCACTTCAGGAGAAATCCAGAGACTGAACCGTCATCAGGTGAACTGGGAAATATGCCAGAGTAGTTCCCTGAGTAGTATGCTGTTCATTGGATGACTGTTTTGTATTTTTTTTTTTAAGATTTATTTATTTACTTGAGAGGCAGATTTACTGACAGACGAGAGAGAGAGAGGTCCATCTGCTGGTTCATTCCCCAAATGGCCACAATGGCCGGAGCTGAGCTATTCAGGAGCCAGGAGTCAAGAGCTTCTTCCGGGTCTCCTACAAGGGTGTGAGGACCCAAACACTTGGGCCATCTTCCACTGCTTTCCCAGGCCATCGGCAGGGAGCTAGATTGGAAGTGGAGCAGCCAGGACTCAACTGGCACCCATATGGGATGCTTAACCTACTACCCTGTATGCCGCAGCACTGGCCATAGATGACTGTTGTTTTGCAGTTGGGTTATTGGAAGTAGAGTTGGTTTTCATAGAAATGATCGTATTTTTCTCAAATAACTACTGTGGTTTTCTATGTATGTAGGGACCCTTAGTAACTTAAAACTCTTTGAAGAGAGGAATTATGTCTCTTTCCATCTTTGTAATTCTTGAGTCCCTAATATTTTATTACATAATAGCAAATTGAGTGAGTCACTGAGGTTTTCATTTGAAAGAGAATGGATCCCAAATTTATTCCTATATACTATTATGATATTTATTCACAGATAGGAAAAAGTAAACATACCATTTCACCTAAAGAATATATGGTGGTTCTTTTTTATCAAGTTAAAAAAAGCAAACTGGCCGGCGCCATGGCTCAATAGGGTAATCCTCCGCCTTGCGGCGCCGGCACACCGGGTTCTAGTCCTGGTCCGGGCGCCGGATTCTGTCCCGGTTGCCCCTCTTCCAGGCCAGCCCTCTGCTATGGCCCGGGAATGCAGTGGAGGATGGCCCAAGTGCTTGGGCCCTGCACCCCATGGGAGACCAGAAGAAGCACCTGGCTCCCGCCTTCGGATCAGCATGGTGCGCCGCTGCAGCGCGCTGGCTGCGGCGGCCATTGGAGGGTGAACCAACGGCAAAGGAAGACCTTTCTCTCTGTCTCTCTCTCACTGTCCACTCTGCCTGTCAAAAAAAAAAAAAAAAAAAAAAAAAAAAACAAGGAAACTATAGATGAAATTCCTTTTATCATTTAGAAACATTTTAAACATATTCATTCTCTGAGAGGAAAAGTTTCTGAATTATACTTTTGGCTTTTGTTGGGAAGCCAGGTTAAAGTTTTATTCATTTCTATCATTTTCTGATTCAGTTAGTAATGATATTTGTGGCAAACTTAATCAGATTCGTTCCATTAAAAAACTGAATGAAATGTAAGGTTAAGAGAGCTAATCTTTTTTTATGATTAGTTCATGAAATGATAACACTAAATCAGTTGTCTTAGAAATATGTGATATTAAGACTTCTTTCCTATGGCCTATTTAAGATAATTGTCAATAATAATTTTGAAATATGGAAGATATTCTAATTTATTTTATATTTTTTCTTGTGTAGAGAAACCTGTAATAAATATTTATCAATAGTGTGTGTGTAAGGTATAAACATTAGTTATTTTCTTTCATATTGACTGGTAGCCTACTTGTTAAATTTCAATTCCATCATGAGAATTTAACATAAAATCTTTAATAAATATCACAATGAATAGTTTTCTGCAAAAGTCAAATCACTTTTGTTTTGATAGGTGTGTTAGAAGAAGCCAGATTCTTTGGTATTGATTCATTGATTGAACACCTAGAAGTGGCAATAAAGGTAAGGCTCTTTTGAACCAATATTACATTTATTGAACCAGTATTACGTTTGTTAATGGCCCACTAATTTCTTATATCTTTTTCAAGAATTCTCAACCACCAGAGGATCATTCACCAATATCCCGAAAGGAATTTGTCCGGTTTCTGCTAGCAACTCCTACCAAGTCAGAATTGCGTTGCCAGGTAATTGAAGCAGACTTTTACTTAAGTTATCTGTATCAGCACATTCATAAATAAAGTTTTATATTCTTCTAGGGATTGTGTTTTCTTTTTGCCTTATTTTCTTTATTCATGCAAGATACAATTTAATTATGGGTCATAGCTTTGATTTAGTCCTGAAATGATTAACCAAAAAGAGATGCAGTTGCTTTTTTTATTGCTTAATTGTGCTTTATGTAGCAGTTTTTGAGCAATGCGCGGAAATTGTGGCAATAAAAAAAGGCCAGTATTTGCAGAGTTGCTAGGTATGACTAGTAAGTGGCAGATACTTTCACTTTTGTGTATTAAAGCATTAAAGATTTAAAAAACCACTGTACCTGTGTTTTCTTAATAAAACTGTCTTGAATTATTAATAAAATAATTTGAGTATATTCAAGTTTACTAAAAATAATTTGAGTATATTCAAGTTTACTAAAATAATAAATACTTATCAGCAGGTATATGATTAACAGGGACCTCTCTTTAGAAACTTATGCACATATATGAAGTATAGTCCTGCCATAGTCTAATGTAAATATGAATAGGTTTACTAGAGGAACCAATAAAGATGCTTCATGTATCTAAATTCCATTTGATCATGTTTTGTAATAAACTCCAAGTGACTGAACTGCCAATTGCTTCTAAAAACTTGGTGGTTAACTATAGTAATTAAATTCAGTACAAGCAGATGGTTTAAACGTTATGACACTTTGTGCTTTTTAATTTCAGGGTTTAAACTTCAGTGGTGCTGATCTTTCACGTTTGGACCTTCGATACATTAACTTCAAAATGGCCAATTTAAGCCGCTGCAACCTTGCTCATGCAAATCTCTGTTGTGCAAATCTTGAACGAGCTGATCTTTCTGGATCAGTGCTTGACGTAAGATCATATTTGGTTACAAGAAAAATAAAATTTTGAAGATATTAAACAGTCTAACAGCAGGAATTATATCAGTCTTTTGGAGCTTTTAATTGAAAATAGATAATTTACCATGTTGGTAATAAAACTAGAGGCTCTAAAAATGAAATGGGCTGGTTTGACAATTTTGATGTCTTTTATTAAACATAGACCTGCCAGGTTTAGCAACTAATAGGAGATTACATCTTGAAATTAGAGTCAATCTTCTGAATATTATATACTTTATCAGAACTTGTATATTCTGTGAGTTGTAACAATAAGCTGAAAAGAAACTTTGAAGTCTTCTATTCAACCTTATTTCTAGTTTGAGAAAATGTTATCACCTAGAAGTATTTGGAAAAGATATTTTGAAGTAAACATGGGATGCATCCATCTGTGGAAGATAGCTTTTCAGTGTTGCTCTTCCTTTTTCTACATGTTCATCTAAATGTATGCAAATATAAATGTATATGTGTGTATGTATATTTATGTAACTACTTGTGTTAATTTAGGGTTAGAGGATAAATGTAGAATTCATAGCGAAACTATGAATTCCTTTCTTAATCTGTAAATCCATATATGCACATCTTTTCAATTAAGTACATTTAATATAGCATCCTCTTTTGATAGTAATTTATTTAATTATTACAGTTTTGGTTGTATTCCTTAGTTGAAACCTATTTTTCCATGAAGTTTTATATCAGAGTTAGTAATCTACTAATATACATTTTGATTACTGTAACTCTCCCTGTTCCCATGTAATGATGGATGAAGTGTCAAGTAGCACAAGAGGCCAGAAAACACAATGAAAGAAAAGGTTTAAAGGACTTAGTTGGGTTTTTTTTTTTTAAGATTTATTTTATTTATTTGAAAGGCAGTGTTACAGAGAAAGAGAGGGAAAGATAGAGATCTTCCATCTTCTGGTTCACTCCCCAAATGGCTACAATGGCCAGCGCTGGGTGAGGCCAAAGCCAAGAGCCAGGAGCTTCATCTGGGTCTCCCACATGGGTGCAGAGGCCCATGCACTTGGGCCATCTTCCACTGCTTTCCCAGGCACATTAACAGGGAGCTGGATCAGAAGCCGAGCAGCTAGGACTTGAACCCATACCCATATGGGATGCTGCCACTGCAGGCAGAGGCTTAACCTATTATGCTACCGCACCAGCCCCAGGACTTACTTTTTAAATAGTGAAACATTGAGAAGCAGCTTGGATTTTGTTAAGGACAAAAAGATAGTTTGGATCATTCAATGCTGATTTTGAGTTGTGTTTAGGTACAATATTACTGTGAACCTATGCCATAATTTTCTCTGTAATCTTGTACTCAGTACTTCTTCTGTCCATATTATATAACCAGTATGAAAGCCAAAGTATATATGTGTGTATGTATATATAAGTATTTGATAAACTGAAGTGTTATTTTATTATTAATGATAAAATGGCTCATGTTGAAAGTCATTGTCCAGAGTGTATAAACTGTATTCAGGCAAAACTAATTTCTAATTGCCGTTGACATTTGAAGATAGCTGCTGATTGCTGTGGTCACAAAATAAGACGTGTACTGAGCCTTCTGCTGATTAGTGTGCACCCGTTGGTCATGCTGCCTTTCTTGAACTGCTCACCCAGTTTGTGGAGTTACTTATTTCCCTCATTTCCATCAGAACCCTCCACTCTGCTATAAATGAGATGATGTCAGTTGCTATCACTGTTGAGCAGTCTCTGCCTGCGCCACATCATCTATTCTATCAATGTCCTTTAGAGTATTTCTTTTTTTTTTTTTTTTTTTTGACAGGCAGAGTGGATAGTGAGAGAGAGAGAGACAGAGAGAAAGGTCTTCCTTTGCCATTGGTTAACCCTCCAATGGCCGCCGCGGCCGGCGTGCTGCGGCCGGCGCACCGCGCTGATCCGATGGCAGGAGCCAGGTGCTTCTCCTGGTCTCCCATGGGGTGCAGGGCCCAAGCACTTGGGCCATCCTCCACTGCACTCCCTGGCTACAGCAGAGAGCTGGCCTGGAAGAGGGGCAACCAGGACAGAATCCGGCGCCCCAACCGGGACTAGAACCCGGTGTGCCGGCGCCGCAAGGCGGAGGATCAGCCTAGTGAGCCGCGGCGCCGGCCTAGAGTATTTCTTATTATGTGGTATGCCCTCCCATGTTGACTTTTGCTTGCTGCATAGAAGCTGGGATAATAATTTAGCTCTCTACTAGGTATTCCCAGTCCAATACTTATGGAATAGTAGAAATTGGCAGGGACTTAGAGGATGGAAATAGCTTACAGTGTGTTGAGAACTAGAATGGTTATTTAGTATGACCTTGTTGTTTCACTGAGAAACAAACCTAGAAACTTCTCCAGTGCCAAAAGGCTGCTTTTTTACAGAGTTGGAACTAGATTTAAAAGTATGTGTTTTGTTTTTCTCAAGACTTTTTTCATCTGGAAAATGTCAAACATATACAGAAATAGGATAGTATGATAAGTACCTCATCGCTCAGCTTCTGTCAGCACATAATCAATTTATTTGGTCTGTACCTTATCACAGTTATTTTAAAGCAACTCATTATTTCATTTGTAAATATTTTTATTTGTGTTTTGCAGATGAGGACCACTTAAAAAGCATAACCCTAATGCTATTGTCATAGTTAAAAAATATGGCTGCTTTCATCAAAATAGATTTCCGCTGTTGATATTGTGAGATGCCACAGTTCTTACCATTGCAGTGCTGACTCTGTGAGCCGAGTTCTGAAATCTTAGCCTTGAGGACCTACTTTACTACTTGATGAATACAGTTTAAAATTCTTTATAAGCTTGAAGATAGAAGACTTCACTGTGGTTGCTTATATATTTTTTCTTTATGAGATTCTGTAGAATAGTCCTCCTGAGTATAGAATGGTACCTACATAATTACCTTGAGAACTTTTGATAACATTTGCCATCTGTTTTATAGTACATAGAGAAGCAGAGACATTTGTTTGCATATATCAACTGCCTGTTTTGTTGTATTTTCAAATACAAAAAACCCAGTCATCCTTTAGTTATTTTGATCCTTCCAGGTCTTTATTATCTTATCTGTCTAGCCAGAACTTCTACACTACCTTGTGTTAAGGAACAGGCAAAGAAATGAGGGAGTATGAATTATCTGTAATTGAAATATTTTTTTCTCATCTCCCTTTTACTACAATTGACTGTAAGGAGGATGAAATTATACTTGTAAAACAAACACATTTCTTGATAGGTATTACTGTAACATGCCTTGATCGGCATTAGGATTTTAGACAAATATAGCTAGTGCTCATGTTGTGCCTTACAGTTGTTAAAAATCTTTCACATTCAGTTTCTTTTTTATTTATTTATTTTTTATAGAAAGCTTTTATTTAATAAGTATAAATTTCATAGGTACAACTTTGGGATTAGAGCAGTTCTTCTCCCCATACCCTCCCTCCCACACCCAAACTGTCCCACCTCCTACTCCCTCTCCAAATCCCATTCTTCATTAATATTCATTTTAATTATCTTTATATATAGAAGATCAACTCTGTACTAAGTAAAGATTTCAACAGTTTGCATCCACACAGACACACAAAGATAAAGTACTGTTTGAAAACTAGTTTTACCATTAATTGTCATAGTACATCTCATTAAGGACAGAGGTCCTACATGAGGAGCAAGTGCACAGTGACTTCTGTTGTTGATTTAACAATTGATACTCTTATTTACAACGTCAGTGATCACCCGAGGCTCTTGTCATGAGCTGCCAAGGCCATGAAAGCCTCTTGAGTCCACAAACAAACATTATTTATCACATTCAGTTTCTACTTTGATCATTACAGTTTGTAGAGAAGGCCTGGTCTGATGTTAACATCAACTTACTGTCTTGGCTAGCAGTTTGTAGAGTTCAGACATGATGGCATTAAGGCTTTGAAATAAATTAACAAATAATATTTAAATAAAATAATTTGAAACAAATACATATTTTCTACCTGTTTACTTTCTGTTCTGCATTATGCATGGTGATTTGGGTGTTTAAGATTGACAGTGTTGTATATTAATGGTTGGTATAGACAGTCCAAGGAGCAACTTCTTAGTCTTTCATAGCTAAATGATGCCTTTAATTGCTGGCATTAGTATTCTGACCTTTGAAATGAAGATGGTTGTAGCTCTTGGAACATCAAGAATTTCAGCAAAGTCCATATACCTAACAAGTGTATGCCTTCCTTATCCATACATTTTGACTATATTGTTATGCCCAAGGTTGTTTATAAAAATAGAAACAGTGATGTCATGGTTCTGACTCCCCCAGCTTCTTTATGTAAACACTTTATGTTCCATGTGAACTGGGCATGCTGTTAATTTGGCATTTGCTTCTTCTTCGAATAGTTCTTTAAAAGAGCTATTTCTTTAAAATATTTACAGTTCTTATTGGATTCAATTGTAAAAGTCTTTTGTTGTAAACAGAAAATAATTAATTGCAAATATATCCAATTGAATCCCCCTCTATTTTTTTGTAACTGTTTGAGCCTATGGGAAGAAAATTATGACCCTTAAAACTGGGACTTTTTTCTTTGCAGTGTGCAAATCTCCAGGGAGTTAAGATGCTCTGTTCTAATGCAGAAGGTGCATCCCTGAAACTGTGTAATTTTGAGGATCCTTCTGGTCTTAAAGCCAATTTAGAAGGTGAGATCCCGTCTGTAAATGTTCTTTCGTGAAATCAGACCATAAAATTAAAAGTTCAGCAAAATAATTATTCAGGGTAAAACAGGATAAGCTGTGGGAAAATAGATTTATTCTTTTGTCATATTTGATAGCCTGCAACAGGGTAAGATGCCTCCATTTGCTCTCATACACATGCTAATCAAACTTGAGCATTCAAGAAATAAAGCTTTGAATATTTAATAAGGCTTGAGTTGAAGAATTCAATTTCAACATCTTAAACTTTCAAGAAGAACAAATATCCTTGTACTGACCAAAAGGAAAAATTTCAGTTTGTACAAAGCCAGGGAGGGTTTTTTTTGGGTCATTTTTAAATTTAATATTTTGTTTATTAACTCATTATTGTGTTGTTGTATCTGTGAATTGGTCACTTTGTTTATACTTTGTGTATTTTGGAGACATAGTGCTTATCATGAATTTAGAGGGGCATATTATAAAAGTGCTAACTATCATAAGACAGTTTATTCCTCTCCTGAAAAGTATTGATGAAAACGTTCCAATTTATTGCATAAGCAAAGCACTCCCTAACATTGAACTCTGTGTTTGTACGTTAGTTAAGAGACTCAGATTTCCAGGAGTTAAAGGAGTCTTTGATCATTTACCTCCCTTAAGTCATCTTGCAATTCTGTTGAGTGCAGTTAAATTTTTTAAGTTAAAATCCTAAAATATGTTTGCTGTAGGTGCTAATCTGAAAGGTGTGGATATGGAAGGAAGTCAAATGACAGGAATTAACCTGAGAGTTGCTACTTTAAAAAACGCCAAGTTGAAGAACTGCAACCTCAGAGGAGCAACTCTGGCAGGAACTGACTTAGAGGTGAGTTCAGCAACATTTAAAGTTTTTGTTCATCTAGAATTACTGAGTATCTCATGCAAAATTTATTGAAATCATAATGAAGTTGGCTGGTAAAACTGCCAGATAACATGCCAAACAGCTGGAGGGCTGTTTTCCTTTCAATTGCATGTTTAAACAAATTGGAATTCCAGAGCAGTGTTCAGTTACTCAGATCACAGATGCAGTTCCAGATTTGATTTCCTGTCTCCTTTTCCTTGGTTCTTCCCCAAGTAGAGAAGTTTGATATTTTATTACTCTGATTTACTATATTTTTCATAATTTTTAATTTGAAACAAAATTAAACAGGCCAGATTATTTCCTGAACTACTTGAAACCTTTATGTATTTTCTTAGAAAGTGAGAGAGAGGGCCCGCGCTGCGGCTCACTAGGCTAATCCTCTGCTTGCGGCGCCGGCACACCGGGTTCTAGTCCCGGTCGGGGCGCCGGATTCTGTCCCGGTTGCCCCCCTTCCAGGCCAGCTCTCTGCTGTGGCCTGGGACCAGGATAAGCACCTGGCTCCTGCCATCGGATCAGCGCGTTGCGCTGGCCGCGGCGGCCACTGGAGGGTGAACCAACGGCAAAGAAGACCTTTCTCTCTGTCTCTCTCTCTCACTGTCCACTCTGCCTGTCCAAAAAAAAAAAAAAAAAAAGAGAGCGATATCATGCTATCTGCTAGTTCATTCCTCAAATGCCTGCAGTAGCCCAGGCTGGGCTGGGCCGAACTGGAAGCCCAGAACTCCATTTGGGCGGCAGAGATCCAAGTACCAGGGCCATCACCACTGCCTCTCAGAATATGCATTAGCATTAGTAGGCAGCTGGACTTGGCACCCAAGGCTTCTATCTGCTGGTTCACTCCCCAAATTCCCACAGCAGCCGGGGCTGGGCCATTCCGAAGTCAGGAGCCATGAAATCAGTCTGGGTCTTCCACATGAGGGGCAGGGACTCAAGCACTTGAGCCATCACTTGCTGCCTTCCAGGGTGCGAATTACTAGGAATGCTGGAATAGGAAGTGGAGCCAGGACTCAAGCTGAGGTATTCTGGTATGGAATGTGGGTGTCCCAAGCAGTAGCTTAATCTGCTGAGCCTTTTTTTAAGTGCAGAACCAAACTCCCACCCCTGTCCAGTCATCTTTTTAATAAGAATTATATTCTATATGTCTTCTTGATGTGTGAATGTAGCTAGCAGACTTGAAAGATGTTGATAGATCTATATCAACAGTGTCCAATAGCACTTTCTGCCATAAGGGACATATTCTATTCCTCTCCTGGTTGGCATGTTGGTTACTACCACATATAGTTATTGAGCTGTATTTCATTTTAAATAAGGCAAAAAGAACTAGCCTAAGGCTGATAGTATACTGCTATTATGAATGTAATTGTTTAGTTGTTTATTACTTGTTATTATACCTAAGGTCGTATTTTTTCCCTTGATTTCAGCTACCATGTATTCAATATGGTTAAGAAGCAAAAGTCTCTGTTCAGCTGACTGCAAAGATTGATAAAGTTGCTTGTTAAGGGGTAGCTGTTGACATTTGTCCTCTTAAAAGATTATACATAATCACTCTTCTTCAGCCATTACCACCACCATCCCTGGGGACTTCACCAGATTCTTCATCTCATCTTAATGCTGTGATTTGGAAAAAAATTAACAAATACCTCCTGTTTGTGTATTAGACTGTTGTGTCCCTTTGTCAAAACTCATTGATTCGTACACATAAATTTGGGATTAAACAACAGCAACAAAAAAAGGCAGTCCCTTGCTATAAAAATGTTAGGGGTAGGGAATAGAAAACTCTATTGTACAATTTAATTACTAGGTACATTTCCTTTCAATAGCTTTCCCCCTTGTCATGCCTTTTGTTCTTGTTCTTGTTCTTGGATTGTGGTAAAATTATTTAGATAATACTTAATTGCACCAATATCCACTCTGCATTTTAAATGCCTGATTCTAAAATACATGAACAGAAGGGACACACTTCATCTTTAATCTTTGCATTTGTGGCCATCTGCCCGAGCACCACCTTGGTTGACAAATTCCTGTGCTAATAGAAGAAAATCTGACTTTAGGGTATATGTCAGAAATTTTCCAGAAATTAACTGAGTTTCATTCTATCAGAATGTTGTCTTAATATCTCACAGACATAATTTTGAGAAGAAACAGGTAAGAATATAAGTCTTCATGCTAGTTATGTGAATATGTTTCTGTCTTATAGAATTGTGATCTGTCTGGGTGTGATCTTCAAGAAGCCAACTTGAGAGGCTCCAATGTGAAGGGAGCTATATTTGAAGAGATGCTGACACCACTACATATGTCACAAAGCGTCAGATGAGGATTTCAGGGGCTGGAGGAAGATGTCCTAGATGAAAGATGTTTTCCTTATCACTTTTCTTTCTGTACCCACTCAGTTGTCTAGAAGAGATAGCACTGTAAGGGAATTTTAAAACCATTTAGACAGTTATGCTTGTTCTCAACGGTGCATAAGGGAAAAAAATTACTCTTTTTTCCACATTCTGATTTTAACAGAAAAGCACTCATTTAATAGATGTAGGGAAATTAGATTGCATTGCTGCCTTTTGAGTGGGATAGGGAGAGTTGCCTGGTTGTATGACCAGGAATAATATCTATTATATTTGCTTTTAAATAGGCATGATGTGGAAATGCCATCTTGGTTTGAGATGCATTTGAGGATTTTAATTTATGAAAAGCACAACATATGCAATTATATTTATTGAATACCTAGATGCAGTATGGATATTTAAATTGTTAAATTTTATGAAAACTTTGAAAAGGTTGTTCAGGTTTATAAATAGCTTTAGTGATGCCTCCCTCTTTAAATACCTGTCACATCATATGAATATGGTGAGATCAGATTCCCTAAGGCTCTCTTTTCAGGTTCATTTTTATGATGTTTACTTTTAGAACAAAATAGTAGCTAATTTAAAGGAATATTCCATTCTTACTGGTTAAGACAGAGTGGAAGGAAAGATACCATTGTACATCATTAACATTCTGAAAGTATATTGGAACACCCCAGATGAAGGAAGAATTTACCAATAGCCTCAGCTTTTAAATAAGCATTCCTTAGAATTTCATTCTAGACAAGTTCCACTCAACACCAGACCAGGCAATTCTATTTACACTACTAGTCTAGTTTTTTTTCATGTACAATCAACAGAATCATAGGAAGAAGATACTTCAAAAACCAAAAAACCAAGGTGCATCATTAATATTCATTTAATTCAAATACAAAATAGACAGGATCAGCTTAGAAATATACTGCAATCAAGAATACTGCAGCCAAAGCTATAAAATATGAGTGAGTATTGCAGGGACACGTTTTAGAAGGCAAAAGGCTTAAGCCAGCATGGGGAATGCAGTATTCTTAACTATCAGTTACATAATAGCTGCCCCCAAAATTTAATAAGTAAAAATAAAGGCATTTGGCTGGTCCATGATATAATTCTAGTCACTCCAGTGAGCATCTGTGGTTCTTTTACTTATATTTTCTTATTTTTTGTTTGTTTTTAACAAATTTTAGTCCATTTTTCTTGAATCGTTCTCTCTGCAGCAACAGAGATTGGGACAGTCCTTGCCCATCAATAACCCTGTGTCCATAGGTCTAGCCCAGGAATAGGAATATAAGCTGTATCCAAATGGATTCTGAATTCTACAGACTCATCACCTTGAGGCAATGAATCATTTAAAACCACTTTTGTCTCCTTTGGGAGAATGACATATCTTCAGTATTTGCGTAGCTTATTCTTCTATATCTACATATGCAAAGCTTTCCTGAACAGTAAGGGTACATATGCATAGTGGGAGGAAATCAGACCTTTACAGGCGAAGGAAAGCAACTTTTAGAAATGAAATATTTTCTTTGCTTTATTATTTTTATCAAGACAGAGAAGTATTGTATTGAGAGATATCTATTTTCATAATCAGTATGTGCCTAAATTATATTTAAATCATTTCACTCAGTACTATATTTTCAATAATTATAGAATGTGTTATCCATTCATTTAAGGGTACCTCTGTAGACAAACCTAAAATTGCACAAGGAACTGAAAGATCTAAACACAGTATGCTTAGAAACTGCAGATTTTGGATCTAATGTATACTACATTAATAAACAATATGAAATGTTGAAAAGGAGTCTCTTCTCTTGCTTTTGAAAATCCACACTATTTCTCTTTTGCATACATTTCTACAATACGTGTTGACAGCTAGCTCTCAGGGTCTAAATGACTAAGGAAGTACAGCATAATATGTGTTATGGACTAGCCTCTTGGAAAGTGCTATGAAAGTCAATTCGTATCTTCAGACAGTATCTATCTGCCATTCTAAAGACATGAAGAAACTATTAATTCTCACAAAAGGAAAGACTGTCTTCTAGTATTTCATTTAATTTGTTTTTGTTACTCTTAAGCCGATGAACATTGCTAGTAGGTGTTATTAAGCTGGATAAAAACATTCCCCCAAGACATGTTTCACCTGACAGTTAAGAGAGAATCCGAAGGAAGGAGAATGCTATAAAATAATAAAACTTGCCTTAACCCTAGTGATGAAACATGTCCCTTCAGTGGTGGTTGGAGGGTGAGCTATAAAATTGAGATTATTTACATTGACAAATGAGATAATTTACATTGATACAATTCAGTACTCAAATAACTTTCTAAAGCAATATGTATTATGCTCTAATACAATTTAGTTCTTTCAACTATGATTTCAAGGAAATTGTAGTAGGAAATGTTATAAATTCATTATCCTGTGAAGGTTTCCATTATGAATCAAGACTTGGAATATTTTCTCCAGTTCATTTTATAAATCTGTTGTTTATACTGAAATCCAACCCCGAGTCAACTTTAAATCATCTTTAATGCAGGACTATCCAAGAATTGTATTAACTACCCAAAGAAGTATATTTTAAGTTAAAAGGTTCACTACTACAAAGAAAAGTGCTTACATTATTTTAGTTTAAATCACCTTATCCTAGAACCAATTCTCTGAAACCTTTTTATAACCTGATTAGACACATCAGCAGGAGTTAACCTTGGTTCTACCTGCTGAGATTTTACATTAGAGAGAAAAAAAAGACTCATTTGTCATTCTGCAACATCACAAAATCATTATTGTAATAATTTTGAGCTGATTTAATGTTGAAAGTGAAGCAGTTTTTCCTTTAAAGTCATTCTTTCAAATCTTGAAAAAAATATACCAATACAAAATCCAATTATTTAAACCCACTTTATTAAATTCTGCTCCTTGGTAAATTGAACATGGAATCATGAAAAGGTTCAGACTTAGTCACTAAGCATCAAAAACTCATTAATTTTAAAATGAGATGGTAACCTTAGTTGGTGCTATAGAGAGTAAGACAAAACAAATTTGGCTTTTGCTCATGTGGCCTAAGACTTAAAGAACATACAACATAGTGAATGAATTCATACGCTATTTTGTTGTGTTCATCTTAAAACTTTCAAAGCATGTTTTCAAAAATGTAATAGCAACCCACAGAAATAACCTTTAGGAAATTCAGTGCTGCCTACCCAGAGGTAAGTATCCACCTAACAGTAGAGTCCTAACCAACGGCCATATTTTCTGCATTAGCAAACTTAGAAGCACGTCTCTCACCAAACCAGAAATCAATTGGACAGTGTAATAATGTGCAAACATAATAAACTCTTGATCAAAAATAGTTTCTCAAGACCTATATAGTGAGATAATACTTGTTCATGTTAGAATGTAATTTAATATCCATCAGTGTTTAAGTAAGTCAAATAAACAATCATGTTTTATTTTTAAATTTCCTTCTATTTGCAATTACACTTTAGCATTTAACCCTTTCTTTACATTATCATAAGAGCTGAACAGCTTCCACAGGAGATAGTTGGGAAAAGCCAAGGGAGTTTATTGGCAAGACACCATTTCTCTTTGCCCTGAAATCCTCAAAATTTAATTATTCCAGAGGCCACTGTGCAATGCCTGATGGGTTTCCTTCCTACCTGAAGGGAAATTGCTGATCTGACCTCTAAAATGAACAAAATCTAGTTATATTTAAACCATTTGTGGCTCAGCTAATGTAACAGGCCATATAGTCAATAGAACATGAAGATTTAATTCTGCCACAGATAAAACATCTTTGATGAAAAAATAGAGGAAGCATTAGGCCTAATCTGGTTAAAACATACTTGCTCTCTCTTATTCAGTCACTGACTCTCATTCATTCATTCATTCAAACCTATGCAGACTAAATGCCAGAGGGTTAACAACAAAGTAAATTAGGATGACATCTTTGACTATTATGGATTACAACCCAAGACAATCTTGAATCCAAATGAAAGTAATAAAGAATAATGGTTCTGTGTCTTTAGTAAATGCTAGTATAAATAACATGTCCAAGATCATGCCACTTGGTGGGACATTTGTAAAAGTTGGATGACAATAGCCAGTTGGCGTGTAGTTACATTGAATGGGGGTGTTCTTACATGCCATGAACTATCATTTCTCGTTTTTGCGCTCACTGCTCTTAGCACAGCAGCTTGCACACTTTAACTCAGTAAGTATCTATGGTAATATGTTGAATTGCTGACCTAAGTTTGCTCTGTGTGGTTTTGCTTTTAGTATATTCTAATGACTGTGTTTTTTCTTAACCTTTTTTTGATACGTAAATCACTAATGGTTTTCAAGAACTCAAGGAAAGAACCTGCTGGATAGGAGATAGGGGAATTTTCAAACTCATAACATCTAATTTAGGATCCTATATGGATTTTATGTAGTGTCAAAAATCACTTATTTTTATTTATATATCAAATTTTTAAAACCAGAAGCAATTCTCTGATCATCTAGTTTAAATCTCTCCTTTTACAAATGAGGAATCTAAAGGCTGAGACTAACTCCAAAGCATCCTGACTCAATTTTTTCTGAATATATTTATTGCAGACTCTCCAAGTTTTTATGTGTACATTTTACTTCATTTAATCTAAGACATTTATTTTCCTTGAACTCTTGATAGGTCTGCAAGTTTCCTCAAGAGAATCCAACCAAGCTAGATTTTAATCTTTTTGAATTGTGGTCTCAGCTATAAAAGTTTTAGCTGAGGTTTTAATGGCCAGGCTTAAGTAAATTTAACAGATACACCAGCGGGTGTTCCAATTACATACACCATTAAAGGGTTTTATGTGCGGATTACAAAAATTACTATGAAAAAAAAACACAGCCCATGTGCAGTATAATTTATCAGCGGGAAAGATTTCAGTGTCCTGGAAAAGTTTCATATAAAAAGGAAGCTAGAAAAATAGGAAAGTCACAATACTCAACACACACAAAAGGAAGCGTGGAATCCCTTTGGCTCTTTACATCTAAACAGGTAAAAAAAAAATCTTTAAATTTCTCGCAGTTTTGTTTAAGATTATGAGCTATTGTGTGTCTGGAGGGCATTTTGCACTTCAAAGGCTGGTGTAGTGGTACCTAAAGGAGCCTTGTCCTTCACTGTTCTTGCCACCAGCCAAGAGACCCATCCTGTGGGGAATCCAATAACTCATTGACCAGTATTTGACTTTGTCTTGTCTTTAGCCTCTTCCCATCGAGTGAAAATTAATATGGAGAAACATTTGATTAGATAATTAGAGGCCCTGTTGGCTAGGGAGGCATCTGGTCTAGGCCTCACTGCTTTGAACAGAGTTGAGTCCTCTGTCTCTCACAGATGGTGCAGCCAGCGGTAATGCTTGGAAGACAAAGGATTGATAATCAGCAAAATGTCATTAAAACTACTGTATAGTCACTTAATGTCAAGCAACTTTATATTAGCCAGAGACACCTAGTAGAAGCTACTTCTCAGTGTAAATGGGCCAGTTTTATCTCAGGACTAACGGGGTTGAAAACCAGTCCACAATGTGGACATGGTAAGCATAAAAGGGAATTTGATAAGGAATGGATCATGGTGTTTGGATGATCAAGCAAACAGAAAAAATTACTTTAGCACTTAAAAACTTCCTGAAATATGAATTTAGAGTACAGACTGAATATCCCTTATCCAAAATGCCTGGGACCAGAAGTGTTTCAGATTTTGTGTGTTTTTGATGATGATGATGATGATGATGATTTTGGAAGATTTGCTTTACAAAACGAGGTATCTTGGGGATGGGAATGAAAACGAAATTCATTTATGTTTCACATACACCTCATACACACAGCCTGAAGGTTATATATAGTATCTTTAAAAAAAAAAAAAGATTTATTTATTTGAAAGAGTTACACAGAGAGAAGAGAGGCAGAGAGGCACAGAGAGAGAGAGAAGAGAGGTCTTCCATCTGCTGATTCACTCCCCATTTGGCCGCAACAGCTGGAGCTGCTCCGATCTGAAGCCAGGAGCAGGAGGAGATTCTTCCAGGTATCCCACGCTGGTGCAGGGGCCCAAGCAAATGGGTCGTCTTCTACTGCTTTCTCAGGCCATAGCAGAGAGCTGGATCGGAAGTGGAGCAGCTGGGACTCCAACTGGTGCCCGTATTGGATGCCGGCACTGCATGCAGCGGCTTTACCCACTAAGCCACAGCGCCGGCCCCTATATATAGAATCTTAAGTAATGTACATGAAACAAAGTTTCTTGAAGTATAATTTTCCACTTGTGGTATCATGTCAGCACTCAGAGTTTCAGATTTTGGAGCATTCTGGACTTTGGATTTTGAGATTAGAAATGCTCAACTTTAACCAATTTTGTCCACAATGGCTAGAGAACTCAGTAAGCAAACAGATGTCATTTCAGCATCTGTGTGTGAAAACCGCATAATTCCAGCTTTTATCTTCTCCAAGGTTAATGATAAAAATACTGTTCTTTTCACTAAAGAGGGTTTTATTTTCTACTCAACCCAGTCTGAGTCTATTTTGATTGTGCATTGCTGTTCCTTAGAATGGAGCTAATTCCCAAACTGCTTGCTGGGCTCATGCTGCTGACTTTATGCGTGGAAGGCTGCTCCAGCCAACACTGGTCCTACGGGTTGCGCCCTGGCGGAAAGAGAAATGCTGAAAATTTGATTGATTCTTTCCAAGAGGTAAGTTTCTCTTAGTTACAAAACAAGATGTGGCTTTTTGATTAAGTTGAACTGTAAGAAACATTCAGCATGAGCCCTAATGATTCTATCATGCTCCATCCTGGATATTCTAGGTGAGAGAAGATACTTAGAAACTAGAAGCCCTTTTTTACTTTCAATTCAGACAGGGACTAATGAAGCAAAGAGCAGGACAAGGTCCAAGATAATAAAGCAACAAGGGCAAGGATATGTTGCACTCTCAGTAGATGGAATGCCAAACATAACTACCAAAAAAAATGAGATGGAGCCAATATCTCAAGCAGAAGATAATTCTTTTGGATTTGGAAAGAAAATCCTAGAACTTCTGTATTAAAAAAAAAATCCAAAAGTTCATCTTTTCAAGTACCCATGGGACAGGCAATTCATGCAGTGGTTGGTGCTACTTGGGATGCTTGCATCCCATGTCAGAGTGCCTAGGCTCAATTCCTGGCTCCACCTCCAAGTCCAGCTTCCTGCTAATGCATATTCTGGGAGCAGGTTTCAGCCCAAGTGGTTTGGTCCCTGCCACACACGGATTGAGTTCCTACCTCCTGGCTTCAGCCTGGCCCAGCCCTGTCATGGAAATTTGGGAAGTGAACCAGCAATGAAAATTCTTTATCTGTCTCTCTGCCTTTCAATTTAAAAAAAAAAAAAGTACTAAATAACATATGTATGATATTGGGTCAGTAGTGCATTTTTGTAGTTTATACGTGTGTATCTTTATCAAGGGTGCGAACTCTGCCATTTCTTCTCACTGATAGGGGCATTCAAGTAAAGAAGTTGGACACTGGTAGACTTCAAGAGTTAGCAAACATAAGAGAACAATATAGAATAATAGGATCCCTCAAAAATGCATGGAAATTGGAATTGAAACATAATTTTATTTTGGTGCAAAAATTTTTTGAAATCCATATATACAAAGAGTTTTCAGAAAGTTCACGAGGAATGCATATTATGAAAAAAATTATGTGTGGACTTCAATTTTTTTCAACCAACTAAACTTATCTTTTACTTCCATTTTACCACAAGTATCTTGAAGTACTCTCTTAGTGGGAAACATGCTAGATTAATTACAGTACTAGCACCAGCGTTAACAAGGGTGGGGGACTAGGGGACTTGGGTTTTTTAACTGTAAAATGTGACTTCGCAGGGTTGGGTGAGAATTACACAGAAGATGCCATTTATGTTATCTGATTAATCCAAAAAATAACATAAGGCTGAGAATGGGAGACTTAGCTAGACAAAGGTAAAAGCATTTAATTTTGACTGGAAATAAACATCTCCTTTTAGAGAAATAAAGATAATTTAGTATTAAACTAAGAAGCTCCAGAATTTGAAGTCTCCTCTCCACAGATTATATGTGAAGCAGATCCCATTGAACTCTGACATATTTAGTAAAAGCCAGAAGATGAACACCAACCCTATTCTGTTTGTTAAGATTTATTTTATTTACTGGGTAGGCAGAGTGATAGATGGAGAGACAGAGATTTTCCATTCACTGATTTTACTCCCCAATTGACTGCAACAGTCAGGGGCTGAGCCAGGTGGAAGCAAGAAGCAAAGAATTCCATCCAGACCTCCCCCTTGGGTGACAGGGCCACCAAGTACTTGGACCATCATTTGCTTCCTTCCTGTGTGTATTAGCAAGGAGCTAGATCAGAAGTGGAGCAGCCAGGATTTGAACTTCCAGCTGTGCCACAACACCAGTCCCTTGTGCTTGTATTTTCTATGTGTGCACTGTCTCCTTATGAGACTCAGAGCACCTCACTCTCATCATGCCCAAGGAGAAACCATGGGCTCTTCTTCCTGTCCCCAGCCCTCCCGCATCACTGTGGAAAATGCCCGATGGCAAACTTGTCCCTTTCCAATCCCCATCTCAGTCCTGCAGCTTTCCTAGTCCCCCACTCTATTCCACAACCCCCTTGACCTCCCTCCTCAGGAAAATCTTTGGTGGGAATGAAAAAGTCATTTCATTTCTTCATCTCCATCCCTGAGAATCACACATTCTGTTTCTTCAGAGAGCCAAAGAGGTTGATCAGCCTGTAGAGCCCCAGCGCTTCGAATGCACCATCCTCCAGCCACGCTCCCCCCTCAGGGGCCTGAAAGAAGCTCTGGTGAGTGCAGGTGACCATGATATAAGGAGCTTTAGTGGTGGAGAGGCCTTGGATGTCCGCCTCCACATCCCCACAGGCTGCCTGCTGCCTTCCTGACAGCTGCGTACCTCCTGTGACCAGGCAGTCACTGTTTCATGCCTTTTCCTTTCTTAGTTAGAGGTTGAAACCCTCTATTTTCTAATGCTGGCTCCAGTCTTTGGGGTGCTCAACCAAATTTCTTCTCACATATACTCATCAAGCCCCATCAGTATATTACTCCAGGCTTAGCCACAGCCCTCTACCTGGTTCTGCAATTGTTCTTGGTGTTACACACTTTTCCCAAAACCTGGAAAAGGTACATATCAGAAATGGTGATTTTTTTTCCTTTGAAATAAACAAATTTCAAACTAGTAAATTTGTAATTCCAGAGCCGCAGGTTTTGTTTTCCAGTTTTATGGTAGGACTATATGGTCTTCAATTCCCACCAAAAATGAAAACCTAATAATCTCAGTTTTTTATGATGAAAGCATGAACAGAGTTGAATATAGAAACCGAGTCTTGAATTCAGTGGATGTTTTCTGAGCTTCTTGGTCCACTTATGTGTTACAGTCACAAGGCATTAAAGGCTAATTAACCATTACATCCGGAAGAAAGAAAGCCTGAATAAGTCATATATGAAGACGTTATAATTTTAATTTCTTCCAGTGGCTTTTTCTTTCATACCCACAGGACAGAGAAAAAAGTGAACAAACATCTTTATTTCTTTTCATTTTCTAATCTTGCTTATTGTATGACAAAAATAATAGCAAGCAATGAAATTTCCCACATGACATGAGGGAATCGAAGCAAAGTCTGGTTTAATATAAACTGATGATCAGATTTTTCTTTCATCTTCATATCTTATCCTTAAATTGTTAGTGTAGAGTTTATTTTAAGGAACTTAAAAAAGAGACAATCCGTCATATTTCTCTAGCACTTTCTAATCTAAAAAAATGAATAGGTCTGTTTCTCTCAATTTATATTTTAGCAAAAATGCAATGAAATTCCACCAGTAAAGTTAACTTTGATATGTTTTTACTCACATATTTTTTAGGATAGTCTGATTGAAGAGGAGACTGGACAGAGGAAGATTTAAGTCTACTGGGCCAAAAGGACAGACACATAATCCTGATACTGAAATTTGTGACCCTTGAAAAAATTGTGAGAATTTCAGAAATCCTTATACCAAGTTGCAAGTATTCATAATAAAGTGCTGTGTCGTGAGTAACATGATATAAATATTAAGTATTTTACTCAGAACTTTGGGGGAAAGGACATTATAATAAGCCCATTAAAGGGAACCATGCGTGTGTGTCTACAGGTTGCAGATGGTATTACAGAACACTCCCAAATCTGGCTGGAGGAAATGCTATAGAATCCCAAAACAGGGTCTGCTCGCCCAGCGTGTAGCAAGCCAAAAATGACACCAGAAGAAAAGAAAGCTGTAGCTTATTTGCAATGTGCAGAGCAAGGGGTCGGGCAACTAATGCTCAATCCGCAGACTTCTGGATAGATGAAAGAGAATGAATCCTACAGATTAAAGTAGAGGTTGAGCAGTGCACAATCAGCTGATGTGAAAATCTCTGGTTGGTCCACAGTGCTCATGGCCTTCCTTGGATTGGTCAGTGACAAGAGGGCAGAATGTTCTGAAGATGCTGTGATGGCAAAGTGGGCTCCAGCCTATCTATGGGTAGATTAGTTATTGCTTTATTTAAGTGGGCTTGAAGTTCCTGCGAAACATCTCTAAATAGTGTCTAGTGGTAGGATGTTAGCCAGGGAGAGAACTGGATTCTGAGTCTTGCAAATCTGTAGTGCTGCAGGGCCAACTTGACCCCTTGTAACACTACCTTAATGAGTTAATCCTAGTTAGCAGTTGACTTGCAATCATCACAGTGAAGACAGGGGAACTGCAAGTTAAGGAAGACTAGGGTCTGAATAACTCTACATCAAAGGCATAAGGGATGGTGGCTCAGTTTCAATGGGAAGAGAGATGAGATAACATCAAGCATCTACTGTTAACTAAAGCAATCTCATGACTCTCATCCACCCCTGCGGTCCACCCCCAAGGTGCAGAATGGCCACCTATTACCCCAGGCTTTACAAGGATGACTCAGCCATGGTTTCCATGGGATTGTAATCTAATCTTTGACCACAAAATTAAAGTGGAGCCATGGCTCAAGTTTCCTCTCACTTGGATAGATCCTTCTTTAGATTGAAAATCTACTGGGATTCAAGTGAGGCACAGGGAAAATACAGCCTTGCAGGGCTCCTACTCCAATGCCCCTTCTGATTTCACATGACCTACCTAAGTGGTGCACACTGAGGTTTGGGACTAGCATAGTGTCTTGTGTTGCTCTAACACAATACCCAACTGGTACTTTATATGGGAAAAAAGAGGTTTATTTTGACTCACTGTTTTGGAGGCTACAAAGTCCAAGCTCAGGAAGCCACACTGAAGAGGGCCTTAGGCTGTGTCCATAACACGGCAGATGGTATCGGTGAGAATCCATGACTGGTACATGCTGATGAGGTCAACTTTATGAGGTGGCCTCATTTCATAACAACTTGCTTTCACAGTACCTAATCTAGTCCCACAGGAACCAACTCACTCATTAATCCCTTTTGAGAGGGTGCTGCCTTGATGACTTAATTACCTCCCACCTCTAACAGGTTCTACTACCTCCCAGTACCAATACACTGGGGACCAAGATTCCAGCACTTGAATCTTTGGGGACTAAACCATATGGAAACCACAGCAGGGATCAAAAGTAGAGCGTTCACCTGCCTGTTTTTCTAGTCTTTCACTCACTCTAGAAATACAATAGAAGGCAGACAGTTGGAGACAGGACTCTTGTGTTCCCATGTCTTCTCGTCAAATAGCATTGCTATTATAAACCATAAAGACTAGTATCAGGCTTTGTACTTGATAGTGCACAAATATTCTCACTAACCACTGTAACAACCTGGGAAGTAGAAAGTGTCGTCTTTGCCTTAAAATGAAGAGACTGGGGGCTCTGAGAGGTTAAGAAATCTGCTCAGCAGTGTCTAGTTCCATGTTCACTGCTTCTGTATCACATTGTGATAAGAAGTCAATGAAACTGGACTTTGGAAGTTGGGTTGTTAGTTGGAGCTGAAACCTGATATTGGAGTTCACAATCAATTTACTTTAGTTGGAGTTGAAAGCAGATATTCAGGTTCACAATCAATTTACTTTTGTCACCTCGGACAGTGCCTGCACCCTACCATTGTTTTCTCTTTGAGAACAAGAGGCCTTGCAGTCAACAGCAGAGATTCCACAGGCTTATTGTTTCCCCAAGCATCTGCTTTTTTTTTTTTCTTTTTGACAGCCAGAGTGGACAGTGAGAGAGAGAGAGAGAGACAGAGAGAAAGGTCTTCCTTTTCCATTGGTTCACCTTCCAATGGCCGCTGCAGGTGGCACACTGCGGTCAGCGCACCACGCTGATCCGAAGGCAGGAGCCAGGTGCTTCTCCTGGTCTCCCATGGGATGCAGGGCCCAAGGACTTGGGCCATCCTCCACTGCACTCCCTGGCCACAGCAGAGAGCTGGCTTGGAAGAGGGGCAACGGGGACAGAATCCGGCACCCCGACCGGGACTAGAACCCGGTGTGCTGGTGCCGAAAAGCGGAGGATTAGCCTATTGAGCGGCGGCTGCATCTGCATTTTTAACTTGCATCTTTGCAACCTTTATGCACACAGACAGTGGACCAGTGTTGCTTTTAAAAAGCAATAGGGCCGGTGCTGTGGCTCAATAGGCTAATCCTCCACCTTGCGGTGCCGGCACACCGGGTTCTAGTCCCAGTCAGGGCGCCAGATTCTGTCCCGGTTGCCCCTCTTCCAGGCCAGCTCTCTGCTGTGGCCAGGGAGTGCAGTGGAGGATGGCCCAAGTGCTTGGGCCCTGCACCCCATGGGAAACCAGGAAAAGCACTTGGCTCCTGCCTTCCGATCAGTGTGATGCACCGGCCGCAGCGTGCTGGCCACGGCAGCCATTGGCAAAAGGAAGACCTTTCTCTCTGTCTTTCTCTCACTATCTGCCTGTCCAAAAAAAAAAAAAAAGGCAGCAATAGACTGAAGAAGTTGTGAAGCATGGGGACAGCTTAAGAGAAAACATCTTAGGCATGGGCCAGGTTTAAACAAGAACTTAAAATCCTACCACAACTGTAGGATGGCTCCTTCCAACCTGACCAGCAGGGATTTTACAAAGCATGCTGTACATATTCATTTTCTAAAGTTGTATTTCTTTTAAGGAAGAGGTTTCTCAACCTTGGACCAACATGGAATAATATAGGCAAATCTGAAAGAAATATGGATGTTGGGTCCCACTTCCCATCCTCAGAAATTCTGATGTAACTAGACTGGGGTGTAGCCTTCCCCCAGGTGACAACTAAGGTTCAACCAGTTTAAGAATCACATGCGTGACCAGCATTGTGGTGTAGCAGGTTAAGCTTCTGCCTGTGATGCTGGCATCCCATATGGGTGCTGGCTGGAAACTGGCCCAAGTGCTTGGGCTTCTGCACCCACGTGGGAGACCCAGAAGCAGCTCCAGGCTCCTGGCTTCGGCCTGGCCCAGCCCCAGCCATTGAGGCCATTTTGGGAGTGAACCAGTGGATGGATGCATGCGGGTGCTCTCTCTGTAACTCTGCCTTTCAAATAAAAAAAAAAATTAAATAATTTTTTAAAAAAAGAATAGCATCCTACCCTTACCATATAAGTTACTTGATACTCTTTTTTAACTTTCTCCTGTTATTCTGGCCTAATTATGCATAGTGAATTGTCACTCCCCCTCTTCGTGGAGGAACGACACAGGACCCTGCGCTGTTCTTTTGTCTGCTCGGCCCTTCCCGGGTTTGCTGCTGGTTCTTCCCGGGTTGGCTGCCATCCCTCCACCTCCGTGGAAGGGCGGTTCCCCCTGCCACTTTCCCCACTTCCACGGGGGAGCGGCACACCGCCGGCCGGCTCTCTCGGGGGCTGCACAGGTGTTCCTTCAGATAGATGTTCCTGGCATGTTGTCTCTCTCCTCCTTTATAGTCCTCTTCCACCAATCCCAACTCTGCTACCCACACGCCGAGTACGCTGCTCTCCTCCAATCAGGAGCAGGTCCTGCTGTTTATTGGTTGAACTGGAGGCAGCTGTGTAGAAGCTGTTTCCTCCTCTCCCAACGCCATATTGTGGGAGAGCAGATGCATAGAATAAGTCTTAATTCCAGTAACTTAGTCTAGTCCCAGTTGCTCCCAGTTGCTCCCCACAGTGAATGAATGAAGAAATATAACTTTTACAGGGACATGGATATTAAGTGAACTGCTACCACAAAGCTGCGAGCTTAGATGCCAAAGGGATGGATGGAAGGGTGAGAAGAACCAAATGGTTTGCATTTTTATTACTTCAGAGAAAGATAACTACAGGACCCCACAAGTACACGTTTCAACTAGCAGGGTCTATCATGAGAAAAGCCACGAGGACTCTGGGGATGATATGTCTCAAAAGAAGTGTCAGCAGGGAAGAACTACGAAGTTCAGGAAAGGTCTGATTTCATAAGTATAAAGGTAATAACAAACTAAACACACGATAAACTTCAAAACACATTTCTGTTTTTAATTTAAAAAATAAATAACAGCAAATCTGACAAAATTCTACTTCAATGCACACATCCTAACTACTCATATTTGAAACTGAATTAGTTACAGAATTGTGGCAAAGGAATTTGTGACAAAATCTGTATGAGCAACTCACAAGATTCAACTCGTGGATGAGTGTGGGTATGTGTACTGAAGAGAAGCTTTGGTCGGATCTGAAATCAGTCAGCCTGGAACCATTAATTGGAGGAAAAAGTATTTTTCCCTTTTGTAGATTAGTATGGATGATTCAACTCAGCCTATCCCAACAGAAACTTGCCTTTTCCAATTTAATTTCAAAAACAGACTTACAGCTGAATTAAAGTTTCCAAGAAAGTGATATCTGCCAATTTCCCAAATGATATGAGGGGAAGAAAGGGTGATTATTAAAATAAAGTCTACAGTGGAGTGGACCAGGGTGTGAAAGCTGAAGACTACCATGAAAATGACATTGTCTATACATTAGTATGGAGGATTATGGGAATTCATGTCAAGTTTTCAGTGTCTGCTGCATTATCACAGGCACTCATGAGTTTCAATGTACACACCTCTTTTGATCTTAATAGCCTGGTATAGCAGGGTCAAAGCACCAAGTTGGGATGAAAAATGC